AAATACAGGTAACCCCCGTATAACACGGTAGTTACGTTCCAAAAAATTGCCGTGTTATGCGAAACAAAGAACTAGTACGAAAAGGAGGGTTAGGTTCCAAAAATTAAAAAACATGCTACTATATTTTCATAATTAAGATAAATATCTTTATTAAAATTTTCTTAAGTGATACATATTAATATAAACAATGTTTTCTTTGTCATCACTAAAAGTACTATTAACCGAGAGCATTTTATTTTTGGCAAGTTATTGTTATCCTCTGAGCATTTTTCTGCATTATTTTCAGATTCATGCTTTACTTTTTGCAAAAAGTGTGTAATTTTAGATTGCTTGCTTCTAGTTAAAAGATCTTTATAATTTTCCTTATATAGTGCTAAGCACTTATGGAATAACAGAAAAACATCTTGCAATACCAGAAGCAGAAGCGTCGAGATCTGGCAAAATTGAAACAATTTTTACGAAGGACCATGTGTATGGAGACAAGAATAGAAAATTTACACACTGAAGTACTAATAGTTCACGAAAATAATTTTGTGACCTATTAGTACTTAAGTATGTAAAAATTTATTACATTTCATGTTGTATGAGGGTTTTACCCATTTCTCGAACCATGTCAGAGTGAATCCATGCTATAAAAGTACCGTGTTATACGGGGGATGGTACCAATTCTCGAACCATGTTAGAGCGAATCTGTGCTATAGAAGTGCCGTGTTATACGGGGGTTACCTGTACATTATTTTACAAATGATGTGCAAATAAATCATTTCATTTTGCATAAAAATTAAATATAATTTTTATTTTGTTAAGTATTAAAAAGTTTATTGCATTTGTCAAGTTTATTGTCATTTGTCATGATGGCTAAAATTGAAATAAAGAATATTAGCATGCATTTTCATCTTCTGTTTCTCTGTTTCTGAATTTGAATAAATCTATAAATTAAATAAAAAAATATATGATTAACAAATTTACAAAATAAATTTATTGGTGATAAGCTTGAAACATAAGACATGCCTATAGTTAGAATTAATTAAAAAAGAATTAAACTATCTCAGCTTGTACTGGGTGTTCATAAGTTTACACATAAAAAAAAATATAACTCAGGAACTAATCAGTAAAATGACATTATATTTCACATGGAGACTTCTGTGATGATAAAATTTTATTTTAGTTACAAAAGTATACACTAGAGCAGTAATGCTACAGTAGATGCACTGCAATACTGTAGCATTTAATTCAAAATGTCTCAAAATTTACAATACACATGGTATGCTGTGTAGTTACACAAAAATTCATACATTAAGCATGCTGTTGTGTAACCAAACAGTGCATTGGAAGTTTTGAGATATTTTGAGTTACCCACTATGGTGTTGCAGCACCATTTATTGCCCTAATAGATATTTTTGCAACACTTTGTTTCAAATAAAATGCCATCATTACAGAAGTCTCCATGTGAAATATGTCATTACGCTGATCAGTTCCAAAATTATCTTTTTAAAATGTGAATTTTAATTGTAAATACCATGTAGGGTCAATGTGGGTAAATATGAGAGTCTGAAAAATTGGAAAATATGAGACAGTTGTGAAACTTGACTTAATGTATGTTTGATCTGTCCTGTACTAATACAATGTTAAGTTTATTTAGTGTTTTTAACAACTTTTCTGAATGAAAATAAATGACTGGTTTCATTGAATCTTTTTAATTTTTAAGAAACACTACAAAAATATGTACAAAAACTTTTCTGTCAGTTCAACTAACTTTTGCTCTGTATATGTCTTCAAAAGACATGGATATTTAATTAGAAATTTTATAAATGCAGCTTTCAGCTGCTAGTTGTTTTTATTGCATATATCATCTTTTGTCTGAGTTTTGTGCATTTCAAAATGAGATAGAAAATGACACACACCATAGGTAAAAATGAGACAACAGATTTTATTTACCTGTCATTAATTTCCATGAAACTTTTTTTATTTAAGTTCAGCCTGTTAATATTTTTGAAATGTAATAGGTCTACACCTAATTTAACCTTAATGTTAATACACAAAAACAGCAGAACTATAGTTTTATTTTCTTCATTATTTTTATTCCATACTAATTAAATAAATAATCAATTGTTCCTAAAGTGTTTTATTTTGGTGTAGACCTATTTTATTTAGACTAGGCTAGTAATGTAAATTTTCTTTAATTAGTGGTAGGCTTATTACTTTTTCTATGTTAATATCTCTTTTAATAGGCCATTATTTTTAACAGGCCATTGAATAAAGGTTTATGTGTTTACTATTAATAATTATGAGGAGCTAGCCAGGGATACAGAGTAATTAAGACTCATGTACCACTTATTTGGCAGCTATCTGTTTGAATAGCCCTTGGGTTGTCTAAAAGAATGGCTTTCTATCAAAGAAATCAAGTGCTGAGGGACTTACAGTTTGAAGTAAAACAAAAGCGGAATTAGATGATCGCATAATCACCCTTTTCCTTATCAGGATTCCTGACACCAGTTAATCACTTTTATTACACGCGGATTAACACACATTATCCCTAACTTGTGAGTATGAGAACGTAGGTAACTTGAATAGGAATGAATATGAATAGCTAACATTAACCAGACCATATTTAAAGTAAACCAAAACATTTAATAAATCAAAAATATCAAAAGTATACAAATGAATGAAAACAAATCATCCTTAAACCTAAATCTAAATAACTAACTTAACCTAATCTTATTTTAAACCTGACGCGTGAGAGAGAGTTCACATTGATCTAACGATTATCATATTACCTTCTCAGTTCTTTCAATATTTCATTGTATGAGAATCTTCTTTAATTATGGATATTCTTCTTATATTTTTTTATGGCACTTTCCTTAAATAAGTTTTCTTATGACAATCTTGTCGATACTTCATATGGAGGACTCTGTATATGACTTTCAATTAACGAATTCGTATGACAGACTTGTATGACAGACTTTCTTCTTGTGGCAAAACCTCTTTCGATGGACTGTCCTATATCATATGGCTAGTTCTTTCAATGACTTTACGGGATTCATGTGGTGATATCTCTTTCGACGAACTGCCCCGAATGGCAGGAAAATGTCCCTTTTATATCGGCCCTGTCTGATGGCCAAGTAGTGTGTGCAAAAGCTTGACTCATCTCATGAGTCGGCCGTGGAAACGAAATCAACTTCCTTTCTAAAATTGAAAGTTTCTTTTGACATCCGTTTTTGTAAAATTCTTGGAAGTTTAAAATATTATTTTCTATTAATTTTCTTTAAAATTGCCTTCCTCCTTCTGAATCTCACATAATTCATTATAGGAGAGGAGAAAGGGAAGTAGTTTATCTTCTGCTGAAGGAGGACACAGACACAGTGCATGTGAAATATTTGTGAAAAAAGTGTATTTGTGTATTTACTAATTTGCATTATACTATGTTTTTCCTTTTCCTTCCTTTCCTTTTTTCCTTTCCTATAGCCTACTGAATTATTGACCAAGTTTAGTTATCATTTTATTCTTTAAACATTTAATTTAGGTCTAAACCTTATGTATTTACTATTAGTGATATAAAATAGTTGGAATTGTAATAATATACTTTGTTCAAAAAGGTTAATAAAATCACTTTGGTCTAGGCCTATGTCTTTAAAACTTTGTTTTATTTTACACTTTTATATTGTACACAGCTACAGAGTAATTTTTAATAATGAATATTTAATCTTATCTACTTACTTCAATTAAAAAATTTCATATGAAAATGTCAAGAAAATAAGCTGTACAAAAATTAATTTTTAAAAATTATATATCTTGGGAAATAAATATCATGGAGCAATGTTTTATACAAAAATGTCTTGCATTTAACCTGCAGTACCTGATTATTAACCTGCCTGTTGGAATAGGCAAGTCCTTATGGTGATGTAATAGGTGTCTCATATTTTAGCTTTTGAAGGTAAAATATGAGACAGGAAAAAATTTTTTGCTCAATATTTTTCATACATACATAAAAAAATGAATACTCTATTAGATTTTAATACTAAAATCATAAATTCTGTATATAGAGTCAATGTAGACACTTTTCAAAACTTTCGTGTAAACCTTGTGTAAATCTTAATTTTACAAAGAGAAATACAATCATGACAAGGTGTAAACCTTGTCATGTATTTCTCTTTGTAAAATTAATATTAGTTTACATAATCTTAGTTTTTAATATGAAACTTATATGTTGCCATGATACAAATGAAAAAGTGTTTATTCATCTTTTCTTGTACAGTATAAATTGAAATTCTAGAAAAATTTTTTCTAGAATTTTCTTCTAGAAAAATGTTACAAAGGAAATGGAATAGTAGTAGAATTTGTTGTTATAATTCTTGCAAAGGGAAATCAAAAATAAATGTAACTTGGCCAAAACACAATGCAGTGAAAGGTAGCAAATATGCTACTAATGTTTTACACCACATATAAGTTTGCATAGACTATCAGTTTAGAAACATGAGTATTCAAGATTAAGAAAGAATATTTATTTATCCAATTTTTACAGGTATCTTATCAGCATTTGATAACTGCCTACTACTGCCATTTGATAACAAACTCTGAAATATTAAAATGAATGTGTAACACACATAACATAATATAAAAAAATAATAAAAATAGAGTGTATTATAAAAATAAAGCAAAGATAGTATAAAAATAGGACAAAAACAATACATTATAAATTATGGTATAAATATTTTTACATGGTTGTTTATATTTACAAAATTATAGATTCAGTACATCCTCAAGTCCCTCCATTCAAATTACAGTGCAATAAAATAAAAGGTTCTCTGTGAGAGGTTTAAGTGAAAAGCAGCGATATATAAGCAACTGGAATTGTATGTAGCTCTAGCCATGACATGGAGACAAAGTTTTTCTGATTTGATAAGCCATTAAAAAATTTAAAATATAAAATTCTGTCAAAGTAAGTTCTATAGTATAAGCCAGGGAGACCCAATCTAATGTGAGCAATGTTAGCAGAGTTAGTAAACAGAAAATGAGTTAAAGTATTTAGCAGTAAATTTATTTGACTTAATGTCCTTAACTGGTATTTTATTCTAAAATTATCAACATGGATTTATGGGATTAATAGGACTTTTACACTGGTGCATTGCCTATTANTTAAAAAAACATATATATATTTTTTTAAAAACAAAAAAAGGAAATTAAAATTGTTGAAAAAATTAAAATAAATTAATCTACCAACTGGGAACACTCCAGTTTTTACATATACAACTCTTGTTAATATCACAATATTCTCCTCAAACTGTTTTTATGGAGAATACCTTGTTTTAAAAAATTTAAGAACATAAAAAATAAAAAGTAAAAAGAATTTAAAATTTTGTTAAAAAGAAAATTAAATTGATATGCAAACTGTTGAAAAACAATTTTCACTACTCAAATTTTAACCGTTCCTGGTAAATTCTAAATGCATTAACAATTTCTTCAATCTTGCATTTTTATAGTTAAGCAGCAGACCTTGCAAAATGCAATCTATCTCTATACCTTTATTTAAATTAATTGATTTTGTCAATTGTAATATTTCAATATGTTTCTTAAAACATCTTTTATATAGATCTTTCTCAAAATCTTGACAATACATTTACTTATCGTACAACTATGTTCTGTGCAATGCAAAACCCAAGGGGACTATCTATACCCTAATCTAACTGATGTCGTGTTCCTTCATTCTTGTGGTTAACTTTCTCTTTGTTTCACCAACATAATTAGTATTTTCCTTGCATCTACAACTTAGTTTATACACCACTCTGACATCTCTAAAACTTTCTTCTTATCCAGTGAAGGCTTATTTTTTAAATTTTATTTCCCATTTTGGATAGTATCCAAACTTTACATTCTTTAACCATATTACTTTTTCAGAATACTTTTTCAAATAATATTTTTTATATATAAGGAAATTTTATACATTTTATAAATTTTACATATTATTATTGTTTTATTTCTCTATTATTAGTGACTTCATACCTAGTTTTATAAATTGAAATCCAGGAGTTTAATAGTCTCATGGGGTATGCATTCAATAAATATTCTTTACAATTTTTGTGATAACTCAGGATGTATTTTCTTCATAATTCGAAGTTTAGACTATTTACAAAAAGTCAAATTAACTTTTGACTTTTTGTAAACTTTTGACTAACAAATCTTTTTTAACCTTGTGAAGTTTTTTACCAAGTTTTACCTGTGTTTAAGAAGAGTTTTTCAAAGCAATTTTTTAAGACTGTTACTTCTGTGGTAGTGTACAAAGGATAAAGATGGACTCAAAAGTTAATTTGACTTTTTGTAAATAGTCTAAACTTTGAATTATGAATGAAATATTCTTTCACTAACTACTACTATTCTGATATAGCTTCTAATGAGGATCTCCTTCTCCAAATCTTGACTAATGCTGTTATAAAATTATTATGTTTAAAAGACATTGGACAAAAGGATTTATAATTTATGGTTTTTAATATATTACAAGCCAATTCTAATATATAATATTAGATTCACTACATATAAAAAATATGTAGTGAATCTAATGTAAGAATCTAATCTTTTTATAGTAATTAGTAATATTCAGATAATTAATACTGCAATTTTTTTCCAATTCATATCTTTTTTAAAATTAAAATTGTGTGTATGTATGTATATATCCAGGGTGGCCAAGCTCTTTGATAGTCCGAGCCATTTTTCAACATTTGAAATTTTTCGCGAGCCGNTGTAAATAATATATTCATATGAATACATTTTTTAATTTGTAATTAATTACTCTCTAAAAAGAAAGGTACTATTAATAGTAAATTTAAACAAAATGATTAACTAATTAATGTTCAAAACTCATAATTATTAGATTTAATTAAAATTACATTTATAATTAAAAGTACTTTTGAGTGTTATATTGTTTCTGTTATATATTTTAGTTGAAAAATATACAAAATATATTATTCAGAAATATGTTATCTTTACCATTATAAAATTAAATCTAAAGTTATCTGAAAATAGTAATTAATATTCTAGAATAAACGTCACATTTTAATGTTTGAAATATATTAACAGTTCATTTGTTGAAGAACATTTTAATAAAATGCAAAATCATACGTTAACCTATTCCTAGTGTCACTGAATCTGACTTAAGTTGCCACACCATACTTTTCTAGCTTCTCTATTCTGAACACTGCTACTAAATACTCTTCATTGTGATGAAGACCCTGGTTTGTATGTATTTTTCACATGTAAGATTTGGCATAATAAAAATTTATATATTTGTAAACATTGGATTAGTATGTTGTTCATTTTAATAATAAACAAAATCTGTAGCCGGGGATAATGAATTTAAGGCCACATATCCAAATGGGCATGTCAGAACAATTTGCCCAACATACCATACATTAAAATACAACTTCATTTATTTTTTTTTTACTGTATTAATTTCAATTTATCATAATTTCAGGTTTTTATTTTTGTTTTACAGTCAGTTTGGATTATCACATCATCATTTTCTAAATTAGTTTTTCTTAATTTCTAATAATTAAAATATACTCATTTTATTTCTTTAAAAAATTGTTCAAACTTTAAATCTTTGGTGTACATAAATTTTCTAAAAGTTAAATATGATTACTTTGGCATGTACACTCAAAAAAGTTTATCATTTCTGGTATAGATAATACATTTGAGACTACTTGGGGTGGAGCAAAAATTTTATTTAAAATGATAAAAAATATAATACAATGGAACCTTGGTATATGATCTTAATCAGTTCCTGATGTTTGGACTTTTACTGAATAGAACATATACCAAACCAACCTTTCCCATAAGAAGTAATGTAAAAATGATTAATCTGTTCTCATGTAAAAGTACCCCTCTTGATATGGTATATTAATGGGGTTGTAAAATAATGTAACTCCTTTCGCAACGTNCACCCCCGGGCGCCATAATAGAATCTCGCTCCATCCTAAAACTTGCCTCGGGCCGGCACTGCACTGGTGTATTGGCTATTAACAAAAGGAAGAGTTCTTAATCAGAAAATCAAAAAATATTTTTTTACCTGCAGTAGTTTTCCTGACAAGTTTAGAATAAAATATTTAGCAAAGTTGTAGACTATATTGGTATGCAATGATTAATGGTTGATTGGAAGTTGGTAAAGAAAAAAAACATAGAATGGAGAATGGATTTGTTATGATCAGATATGTTCATTGGATGAATTAAATTAATTTTTTTTTCTTTTATGTTCAACTGAATGTTAAACTGTTTATTATGGATATATTTTTATGATGTATTATCTTATTTACCTTGTATTTAACTAATAATTATATAATAATGACAAATATTATATTTCAGTGACCATTTACTCTATAATGAGTAGAGCTAGGCCATCTAGACACTAAAAATTGTATACAGTAGTTATAAAAATCATAACTTATATATGATTTTTAGCCCATGGCAAATTGCCATACAAATTTGATAACATCTTATTTAAGGCATTGTACTTTGGTGATGCAGAAGTGCACCTCAGTATTCCCTATTCATAGCATATGTCACGATCTACATTTGAAATGATTTTCAGGTTTCTAACCATTTAATTGTTTCTGAGCTTTGAATTGGGTAATATTCTATCTTTGGTGTACTTGCTGCTATGTGCTTTGTGATGTAAATATAATTTGCATTTACTTTTTTATTTATTTTTTAAATGCATTTGAAAGAGTAGTTTACGTTTTGCATATCCATTGCATAAATATCTTTGTTTAATAATGTTGTAGGTTTCAATAAATTCTTAGACTTATATTTTGAAAAGTCTGGCTTAAATTTTCATTATACTTCTAGCTTCTTATAGAACTTTGACCCAGCAGTCGGATTGTGCTTTAGAACAACTTGTGAGAGAATTAATAGAAAAAAAGAGAAGAGCCAGATTATCACACTAAAACTGAGAAAAGAATGTGGTAAAAATGTCTGCAAGAAAGTCATGTAATCATTGTATGTGCTATGTGTGACAGTGAGCAACAGATGGAGGTGGAGTAGATTAGTTTTAATCATCTAGATGATTAAAACTAAGCTACTCCGCCTCCATCTGTCATCTAGATGCTTTATTACTACATTTGTTCAATAAAAAGTTCTAAGATTAAGTCCATCTTTTATTCTTATTTTCAAAAAAAAATTAAATATTGGAGGATATGAAGTAATATTAGATATGCAGTGTAACAACTCCAATATTCTCTCTCATGAAACTCTAAAAGGCAAATCTACCAAAGAATTAATATGAAAATACTTAACAGTAATATTATACTTCTTAAATTTTGGTTTGATTAATTTTATAAGTTTAATTGTTTTTTAAATAATCCTTGAAAAATTATTTCAAAATATTCATACTGTAGAAATTGAATTAATATATCATATAATGAATTTTTTGAAAAGTACAGAAATATACAAAAATATCTTGGTTAGTGCAGTTAATGCAATCCGGTAAATTACTTCAATGATTGAATATTATTTAATAGGAAAAATGATGATTTATTTGACCCAGGAAAAGGAACTTTTTCATTTAAAATATAATTAGAACTGACTTAATAATAGGTCATAAAGTCTATTTGAATGAGGATTGAACATCAGGAAACCATTGGACAATTAACATGAAAGTTCCAATTTGAATTTAAAAAGATAGGTGAGGAATTCAAGATAGAAGTAGAATTTGGTGAATTTGGAGCATTGAAAGTTTTGTTTTGACTTGGAAGACGGATGAGATGCAACCAACAGCACTTAGGTTAGAGTTTTACAAAATATTTTGTAAAACTCTAATAGATTTTGTAAAACAGATAGCTAATTTATGTCATAAAATCAACACAAAAAATCTACAAGACAATGAAATAAAAAGATGAATTGTGATTAATGATATGAACAAAATGACATGTTTTGTTTGCATTATTATTCATTATTGAAGTGCATGTAAAAATGTAAGATTTTTTAAACAAAAAAAAATGGATGTGAATGAATCTTATAATTTTAGATATAACATAAGTGCAAACTAAAAATTTATGCACATAGACAAAACAATTTGTCTGAACAAATTCACTCAAATGTCAATTAATTACAAACCATTTATCAAAAGCAAAGATCATAAATAGGGATACTAGATTTGTAAATAAAAAGTTTTGTATCTACTGTAAATTTTAAATATATAATACTGAAAAAATTACAATCAATAGATAAATTTACAATTTCTAATATACAATTATTTATAATGGTAATACAGAATTCTGATCATGTCATTATATTGAATAAAAATATTTTATGTTAGATTGAAAGGATTTCAGAATGGAACTTTTTGCAATTGAAGCATTTGATTTTATTTGACTAGAAATTAAACTTTGATACATGCAAATTTATGCACACAAAAATATATATTGTTTTAGATAACACAGTAAAATGTTAGATATCATAGAAGAAAGTTTACATTTAATAAATTATGATTACATTGTGATTTTGATTACTACTAAAACATAAATGATAGCTTACTTTTGTTGTAGTATATCATATGTACAATGCATTCATTACCAAATAAAATTTTTATTGCATTCACACACTAATATTGAATATAGACAATTATACATTATATATATGTAAGTGTACATGCATATATACAGTCAAACCTTGATATGACATCATTGTAGATAGGACTATTTGCATAAAATGCCAATGAATATTTGTGAATGAATCTTCCCCATAAATATTAGTAAACCTTTATCTGTAAATTAAATGTATAATTTTTGCATTGCAAATAACACATCACTAGATCACACAATTTTTACTCTCTCAAACTTATGTAATACTCAACTACAATTATTATTTCAGGTACTTCAGTTTAGCATCACATTTTTTTAATGCCAATTTCAAACAGAAACAAATGGTAACACTAAATCAAAATTTGACTATATAATTACATATACATACACATATTGATAATTTTGGGAATGTGACAGCTCCACATTTAACTAATCATTTTATCCAAATATTCATATATTTGGATAAAATGATTAGTTACTTCTGATATTCACAATTTTCCAAATCTTGATATTGAAAATTTTGGATCATTTATATAAATTACGTTCTTTGATTCATTATGTTTCAAGTTCTGTATGTTTGACAGTATTTAAAATTTTTGGGCACTACTAATTTACAAAACAATTTTAAATTAATTTTAAACATCAATTCATTAAAATTACAATTTAGTTAATTTTATATGTGTTTTAAAATAGTAAATTNCTGCGATTGGCTCATTCCTACAACGTAATTTTCGGTTAGCGTGGAACGTATCTAAGCGTTATAGGGGGGTCTACTGTATATGAATGAATAAAATTGTAAAATTGTCTGATAAATATTTTTATTTGATTTAAAATATGCATTAGTTAGTAAAAGGCTGGCCTTATGTATTAAGTATGCCAACATAAAGATGGCTGAGTGTCTTCAAAATAATTTATGAACATTTATAAGCAATTTGAGACAATTATTTGGTAAAGTCAATTGTGGTATTTAACTAAACTATTTCTTAAAATCAATCATTTTATAAACAAAATAAATATCAATACATTTAATTTTATTCCTGATATTTTGTGTCAAGCTTTTTGATTTAGTATTATTTTTAAGTTTGTCTTTGACAGATTATAACTAATGTAAATTAATAATTGCAGCTCTTATTGATTTACGTAAACTCGTACCTTTTATTCATGTTTTACAAGTTCTGTCTTAGGATATATTTTGAAGAAAATTCGGTGGCAATGCCAAAATAACTACAATTTTCTGGTTTTTAAAACTTTCCATTTTAGGAAGGCTCTGGCTCTCTGAACTTATGAAAATTAAGATTTTTGAGTATTTTTGTTTATATTTTGGAATAAAGTCATAAAAATAGTATTAAATTACTTTTTTATGTTTATTTTTAATATAATTTAATTTGATATTTAATTTTCAATATATTTAGCCTAATTACTATGTTATTTTTATTTTATATATGTTGTAAATAATCATGTTGCATGATAAGTTTGTTAAATTACAAAATATTTATTATTTTGTAATATGTGTGTTATTTGTTTCTTTAACAGAATTATGTAACATATATATATGTTACATAATTCTGTTAAATAATTAATAATGATAAGGTTGAATATTTGTAAAAAATAATTTTTAAATTAAAACAAACTTTTTTTTTAAACAAATTAAATGTTTTATTTTTCAGAAACTCTTAATGATATTGCAACTAATTTCAAAGAGAATACACAAAAAACTAAAACAGAAAATGAAGAAGTAGCTGTAAAATTACAAGTTTCAGAAAATAAAATGTAATAAAATACAAAATTAATCAAATTTTAAAATGATTTAACAAAGACTAATATTCTTTGTATTTTTTATAGATCAAATGAAGACAATCATTTTTGTGAAAAAATTATTACTTTACCTAAAGAAGATTCAGACTGTACACTAAAAGTAAGTTAAGGCTTTTATAAATAAATTATGAAATATACAAATAATACACAAGTATGAACTTTGTAGTTATATTGATGTACAGTAATACCTCGACTTATGCTACCCTGACTTACGCGAACTCGGAGTTACGCAATTTTCAAATCTTGTTGATTCGTCTTTTGTTTGAGCGCCACGCAACTCTCGATTACTCACTCCCCCCCACACTATTGTTCAGCTTACATGTTTGGACGTGTCGTGCGGAATCGACACATAGCTACAATTTATTTTGTGTTATTTATTTCTGTGTTTGTTATATCTACGGAGACTTGAGAGACTCTATGTGGTGATTTCTTGTAACCGTGAACGAATCAAAAGACGAGATAAGATTAACGAGAACATTTATTAGCTTACATACATCTGACTTGGACTTTACACAAATTGCGAAATTATACCCCGACTTACGCGAATTCGACTTACGCGGTTATCGCTCGGTCCCACCTATCGCGTAAGTTCGGGGTATTACTGTAGTTATATTGATAATGTATCTATATTGTTCTATGGGTGAGAAGATGGAGAGAAACTGCAGAGATAACATAAGTATTTTTTTTTATTTCTTGTAAACTGCAAAAAATATTAAATCAGGAGAAAGAAAAAATACTAAAGTTAAACTTATTACAGCTTATACATATATATAGTCTATTCTCACTTCCTCAGCCGTATCTTTACAAATATAAACAAAACACCAAACTCTTGCTGAGCTTATTATTACTTTAATTTCAAACGTTTTCAGCCCAATTCCAATAGGCCATCTTCAAGAACTATTCGAATACAACTTTCGAATAACTTTTAAATTNAGGAAATGGGGATTAAAAACCCGTAAAATTATGGCAGTTGTGTAGTACTGGTTTAATGTATATTTTTGTTATAGTAAGCTTTATTTTTTATATATTTTTTATATATATTTTTATTATTTTATATTATTTATGTTTATCATATAATATGTTAAAAATTTTTTAGTTAAATATTTAATGGTTTACGGTGATATTTAAAAATATGTTAAATAGTTAATAGTTACAGTTTATGTTAAAAGTTTAAATTTAAAAGTTATTCGAAAGTTGTATTCGAATAGTTCTTGAAGATGGCCTATTGGAATTGGGCTGAAAACGTTTGAAATTAAAGTAATAATAAGCTCAGCAAGAGTTTGGTGTTTTGTTCATATATATAGTCAATGAACATTAGATATGTTTTAAGATATACAGACAATATTTAGTTGGGAAGCCTTTACTTTTAATTACTAAGATACTGGTACATTTTTTGAGCACACTACTTACAAGCTGTTTAGGCTTATTCTATGATGTTAGATGATACCAGCATGAAATGATAGCTTCAATTAACTGTACTTTATATGTTGGATTCTTTGCACTCTATTTTTGTTTCATCTAAAATATTTTGGTTGGATTAAGATGCTACAGTTATGCAGGTCATTGTAATCTCTGTACCAATTTAGAAATAAGCCCCGTGTCTACTATTAATGCTTTAAAGGTGCATTGTTGTCCTGGAAGATGAAATTGCTATTTCTATCATGTTGACAGATGAAGGAAGCATTTTTCTCTTCAGCATTCATCTTCAACAATATGCAATCTATTCATTCCATGAGTTGAAATGCAATCCCAGATCATAATTGCAGTAGGATGCTTAATTGTTTGAACAGTAGGGTTTAAATCTCATTTTTTGACATCAAATAAATGTTGCTTCTTTGTTGAGTATCAATGAGATTGTTATTTTCTCATTCCAGATGACCTTATGTCACTGATCCATAATCTATCCTTTATGATTACAACCATTGTACACACTTTGGCCTTCTGTTTTTTTTATTTTATTAATGAAAGGCTCTTCACTGGTTTGCGAGTTCCTAAGCCATTTTCTTTCAGTCTACAACTTACTAGCCACTTGGAAACAGTAACTAAACTGCATATCTTTCTAAATTATAAATTTCTACTGTTGTCCATTTGTCTGTCCTTCCTTAATCTCAAGAACAGTGTTAAATAGATGAAAGGCAAGATCAGATATGGGAAGCTTAGAGGCAGGAGGCTCTGCTTAACTATATACAAACTTCTGGTCTAGACTAGAAGTTACATGATTTCAATTTAAAAAATTTGTCTTGAATGGAGTTACATAGATGACTGGCATGACTTTGTTGTTATCTGGAAAAGTATGATGTACAGGGGCAAGACACTACTAATTTGAAATGGAGAACATATATTTTAAATTAAATAAATTTAAGAATATGATTAAAAATTGCAGCCCAGCTTTGTGTATGATGTCACAATAAATAATTGCTCATGTACTGTACATTTATTTTTCAATTTTTAAAGCAGTCTTTCAAGCTCATTCAAATAAGATTGTGATCATTTCACATGGTAGTTTTCCTTGGTCTTCCCTTTCTCTACTGATCTTCCAAACTGTTAGTCATATTGAGATGACTAATGCACCTGCTAACAGTCGAATGGCTGCCATGTTTCATGGCAATTTGTTAATGGGACATTATTCACAGCAATAATTTTACCACTTGTAAGCACTTTGTCTTCTGACAATATACTTTAACAAAGAAACCTTTCAGAAGTGTAACACAAGACACTCAATTTTGAAATGAAATTATGTGTCACAGGCATCTGTTATATAGTGGAAATCAGCTGCACAAGGGAGCTATAATGAATTGAGCTAACACACTTAACTTTCACCACTTGTGTTTCTTAAGACTCATTCTTTTTATCATTCTTTTGTCAACTGATAGTTCCAATATTATGTATAATAAATAAAAATAAATAAATAAAACTATAAATCTTTTATAAAATCTTTTCAAACTATTGATTACATCCATATCTATTGGTTTTAAAATTAATTTGACATTGAGAGGCAGAAACATTAGCTTGATATTGGACAAATTTTGTCTAAACGTTGTCAATGAATCTGGGGATGTGCTGGATAGTTATCAACTAACAATAAAATTTTTGTTTCTCTTTGGATAGTTCTTTATTCCAATCACTTAAGTACTGCTGAAAAATATACAAAGCCATCCAGGCTTTTTGTTTGCAGTATAATCTACAGGAAGATTTTTTACATTTTTTAAATACTGTGGTTTTAATGATTTTCCAATAACTAACAATTTTTTTGTATTGGTTCTTGTCATATTTGCACATATAAGCACCATCAAGCGATTCTTTGATTTTTTTCCACCAACACATTTTTCCCCTTTGAATTAAGTTTGCAGTCAGGTGTCAGATTATGAAAAAGTCCCGTTTCATTGCATTGTAGATATCTTTGTCATTAAAATCTTTCCTCATTTCTGCCCAAACATGGACAATCCATTCATTTGTGGTTACTGGATCAGCAGATTGAGATTCTCCACTAATTTTTGAATAAACAATGTTATGTCTGTTTTTGATTCAATCCAGCCAACCATTGTTGCATACAAAATCATTGCATCAAAATTGTCTTGCAAATTTTTCTGCTTGAACCTTTAAGATTGGTTTGTCTATTGAAAATCTATCAGTTTTTTGTGTACCTAAATCATTGAAACAGTGCTTCATTGATGTTTACATGCTCACACTTTCTAAATTTTTTGTTTTAGTTATATTTTTCTCCAGCACTAATAGGTAACCATCTTTATTTTTCCATAATATTGATACTGTTGATGAAGACAAAGAAAACTTTCTACATACTTTGACATTTTTAGCACCATGTTCTAACTCAAATAATTTCAACTTTTTTATTCACTGAGAGAGATTTTCTTTTCTTCATAGATATGTTTCTCATCTAAGGGTTGGTTTGTTTATAACTCAAGTATACAATAATTTTACAATCATAGTGATGATTAGGTAAATTGATGGAGTAGGGCAGGAAGTTAGCAAGAAAGAGGGAGATGGTTTCCAAAAAAGAAAGTTATGTGATAAATAGACCTGTAATTGATACAAGTCATAAAACTAATTATCCTGTAGTCATAAAATTAAGCAAATCTTTCAGTTTCTGGGTACAAATTCACTGAGTACGGCGTTAATAAACTTCTTTAGTAATCACACAAGTACTTTTGACATGTGTATAACCGTCGTCTTCAGGTGAAAAGAACAAGTTTTTAAGAACGAACGTGCAGGATGTTCCAAAAGAACATAATATTTAAATTCAAACAAGCGTCCGGAAATTTCGTTACAAACGTGCGAATGATTTTTGATATTTCGAATCTTTATTTTACGATGTTAGCGGCGCATGCATGGAGATGCTACCGCGTTGGCGATACGATGTTGGGCGCATTTCGTTTTTTAGGCGCTGATACAAGGCAATCCACACCCCGGGTAGATTGAGGGTGGGAACATTGCATGCTTCTGAAATTTCCGGACGCTTGTTTGAATTTAAATATTATGTTCTTTTGGAACATCCTGCACGTTCGTTTTATTAAAAACTTGTTCTTTTCGCCTGAAGACGACGGTTATACACATGTCGAAAGTACTTGTGTGATTACTAAAGAAGTTTATTAATGCCGTACTCAGTGAATTTGTACCCAGAAGCTAGACAAATATTGGCGTGAGTTTTTAAATTTATTTTAAATCTTTCAGTTTTATCTCTCTTGAGAATTCAGTACTGCATTTCCTACTACTTGAACAATTAAGAATGTTCATGTGTTTGCATAGCTAATGAAAATTTGCTTACTATATCTGTGAAGTATGCTCATTTTAACTTTGAGAAAATGTACAGAAATATGCATAAATTAGAATTGTTATGGTATTTTTCTCATTATAATCATGAACTTATTACATCCATGTTCATTATAACTGAGTTTGACTGTAATATTATTATGAGTTTGACTGTTTTTTAGTTGTTATTACATTTTTTCTAAAACTGTATTTTATTATCATATTTGCATACTGGCATGTGTGGTGATATTTTTAAATAAACAGTACTGATTATATTTATCACTGATCCATAATCTATCCTTTATGATTACAACCATTGTACACACTTTGGCCTTCTGTTTTTTTTATTTTATTAATGAAAGGCTCTTCACTGGTTTGCGAGTTCCTAAGCCATTTTCTTTCAGTCTACAACTTACTAGCCACTTGGAAACAGTAACTAAACTGCATATCTTTCTAAATTATAAATTTCTACTGTTGTCCATTTGTCTGTCCTTCCTTAATCTCAAGAACAGTGTTAAATAGATGAAAGGCAAGATCAGATATGGGAAGCTTAGAGGCAGGAGGCTCTGCTTAACTATATACAAACTTCTGGTCTAGACTAGAAGTTACATGATTTCAATTTAAAAAATTTGTCTTGAATGGAGTTACATAGATGACTGGCATGACTTTGTTGTTATCTGGAAAAGTATGATGTACAGGGGCAAGACACTACTAATTTGAAATGGAGAACATATATTTTAAATTAAATAAATTTAAGAATATGATTAAAAATTGCAGCCCAGCTTTGTGTATGATGTCACAATAAATAATTGCTCATGTACTGTACATTTATTTTTCAATTTTTAAAGCAGTCTTTCAAGCTCATTCAAATAAGATTGTGATCATTTCACATGGTAGTTTTCCTTGGTCTTCCCTTTCTCTACTGATCTTCCAAACTGTTAGTCATATTGAGATGACTAATGCACCTGCTAACAGTCGAATGGCTGCCATGTTTCATGGCAATTTGTTAATGGGACATTATTCACAGCAATAATTTTACCACTTGTAAGCACTTTGTCTTCTGACAATATACTTTAACAAAGAAACCTTTCAGAAGTGTAACACAAGACACTCAATTTTGAAATGAAATTATGTGTCACAGGCATCTGTTATATAGTGGAAATCAGCTGCACAAGGGAGCTATAATGAATTGAGCTAACACACTTAACTTTCACCACTTGTGTTTCTTAAGACTCATTCTTTTTATCATTCTTTTGTCAACTGATAGTTCCAATATTATGTATAATAAATAAAAATAAATAAATAAAACTATAAATCTTTTATAAAATCTTTTCAAACTATTGATTACATCCATATCTATTGGTTTTAAAATTAATTTGACATTGAGAGGCAGAAACATTAGCTTGATATTGGANACATTAGTGGATTTAAGAGCATCTTATGTTCTTTTTGTTGATTGTTTCTTAATTATATTCTAATACTAATTATTTTTTGTGTAAAAAATGTTGTTGAAAAAATTTTTAAGATAGATGTTATATTTTAAATTTTTTATAATATCAGAATCAAATAAAGTTATTATCAATACTTTGTAAAATATTAAAATATGACTTATGTTAGCAACATGTTAATCTATAAATTTATTTTCTAGCATTGTAATTTGAAATTTGTGTTTGTGTTAGTTTCAGAACAGCTAAAAAAAGAAAAAGATGATAATATTACCCTTAAAATAATTTTAAAGCAAAATAATGATGGTTTCAAGAAAATTCAGGATTTATATATTCAAGAAATTAAAATGTTACAAAGTATTTTGAATCGAAAACAGATTCAACAGTTATATAGTGTCAGTAGCATCAGAAAACAAAAAGAAAAACAACACATGAATTTTTCAAGTGATCCAGTAAAAGAAAGTAGTAAGAATTAAAACTTTTAATAGTTTTTAGAAATTGTATTTTAAAAGAATTTTACAAGATTTTAATATATTTTAGTAACAGAAAGAATATCAAAATTTCAAGATGTACATAGTAATCAATCATATTCCCCATTATTAAGAAATTTTGAAGATTATCATGAGAGTATTTCTGTGAGTAGTGTTAAAATATTTGTTTTATTATAAATGGAATTTTTAGATATACAATAACAGCTATGGAAATTGCATCACCTACAGTATATACCAAAAAATGTTCAATGGTTGTGAAAAGTATCATATTGAGTATTTAAGCTAATCTTGCAATTTGTAATGGATAACATATGTACTACAGAGAAGAAATCAGAAGAAAAAAAAAAACTAGAAAATTATAATTCATTACATATGATGTTATAATGAACTTGTGTTATTTCACCATAGTCTCATCAATACCGTTAATGAACCAAGAACTTGTCATTTATAGTTATGGAATAAAAGAAAAGTTTATAATGTAAATAGGCCTGAAAAACAACATAACAAATAGCTATTTTTTATTGAATGGTATCCCAATACTTTATAAGATCACATCAAGCCTAGTAACATCTTTGCAACAGTCTGGAATAAAATGAGTGAATTTCTTCAAGTATTCTTTATCAAGTTTGTGATACCAAACTTTTTTTATATATTTTCTGAAGTTGCTGTAATTTTCAGACCTTTTTGCTACAATTTTTATACCCATATTCCAGCAGCTTTTAATAGTGTTGAGGTTAGGACCTGGCCAGCTTAGATATCTGATTTTGGGACTCTTGTTTGGAAATTTTTTTTATTTAAACTGGCACACACATTGCTATCTAAGTGACAGTAATGCTAACAAATCATAGAGAAAATACAAATTGTATTTTAATTACTGTTTTCCTGCACTGACATGGCACAGAGTTATACTGGAAGAGGCAGTATTTTGTGCTCTGAAACTGTTGGAATTAGCTTGGTGGTGAAGATGTTTTTATAGCATTCTGCATTCACAGATTTATTTGTAAAGTGTAGTTTGCTTCTTGAATATTTTATTTTAATTCAAGCTGACATGAAATTTCACTTATTAAATTGTATTTGAAAAAAAAATTTCATTTTCAGGTTTTAAAGCTTAGTTTCTGTAGAAAACCAAAATTATTGTTCAGTGACAGTGACAACTTATCTCTGACATGTCTCTCATACTTAAGATGTCTGTTTGTCCTTAATTTTTATATATTTTTTTAAAACCAGATATTTAGATATTGAATGTTGCAACTTTACTTTTAACCTATTCGATGTTGAAATTTTTATTTGTTGCCTGTGACGCCATGTTGAATTTTCATCAATGTTAAGCTTAAAAATTTTTTTTAATGATAATTGTGTTTACTGTATCATAAAAAATTATTTTTTTATGTTTTACAAACAAAATAAATATATTGAATAATATAGAAACAAAAAAAATTATATCTCAAAAGTTCATTTTAATATAAAAATTGTGATGCATAGCGACATTTAGTATCAAAAACGTTCTGATGTAAACACGAAAATATTTGGGATCGCCCACGCAGATCAATGAGGTCAACATAAATATTTTTGGGAACAACGTAGGACAGGTTAAACACACAGGGTCTTTTTACATTATGGGAAATTTTCCAATTAATGTCAATAGGCTTAGTCAAGGTGCTACTCCATTTTATTCTAACCTTTTTGCTCCTATTTTCATATTTTTCTACTGTAAATTTTACTTGAACATTGCTCAGGTAATTGGACATATTCTACACTCCTGCAAAGCAACAATCATGGACTTCATGTTAACTGTTGAAAACTCTTCATTTTTCTTATAAAAGCATGTTACTCACACATTGGTTTTTATACCAATGGATAATACAATCACTAGAGACATCACTACAATAGACTTTATCATTCGACAAAAAGTGTTCTCATGTTTGTGATGTTATGGATGATGCAATCTTTATGATTTCTTGTAGATTTACAGCAAAATGATACTTTAATTTTTTTAAATTAACATATTTTAATAAGATTTTTAGTAAAGCAATTTTCATAGCTATTATTGTATAGCATAATGTAAAATTATTTATATAATAAAATAAAATTTTTTATATACATTATACAGGAAAGTTCTAATAATGAACATCTTGTACAATGAATCAACTCAATGAACAAAACTTTCTGCAGATCTCAGTTAATTTCTATTTACTGTAAGGTCTCGTTTTATGCAGTGGATACGTTCTACAGAAAAGCGCATATAAAAAATTTGCATAAAAAGAGACTTTACTTGCCTTGAAAAAGTAGGGATACGTTCCGTAATTTTCTAAAATTGCATAAAACCAAAACAACGAGTTAAAATTAACTTAAAACTGCATAAAAAAGTTTGCAGAAATTAAAAGAAATAGACTGCTTAATAAATTACTTTGAATGTCTGAAAGAAATTCATATAAAAGCTTAAAATAAACTTGTATTCAAACTTAATTCAGTTTATTTTATTGAAAAGCAATACAAGGGGAATCCCCGAATTGCAAAAGCTCACTCTAAAAACAAATCACTGACATCTGGATGTGAAGAGTTAATTAAAACTCTTTTAGTTCCTCGCCTGAGTTAACTCGGGCAGGATACATAGCGTTACATAAAACACGGTCCTTTGAAAATTTTTTTTTTGAATTTTTGGAATGTTTTTTAAGTCTCCAAATTTTAAAAAAATATTTAAAAATATACAGCCAGCTAGTGTTCACCCTACTTTAAACCCTTTTCCTCCCGTGATGTCTATGAGAATGCCCCGGGAAATCCAACTCCAGCTGTGTTCAAGGTCATCAAGATGTGTAAACAATGAAGTATCGGTGTTAAATTTCACAGAAGGGCGAGACAAAGGAAGTTAAACTTTGAAGCTTTTTCTTCAAAATTAAGGCATTTCTTTCGTTTTTTTCAGTTTTAAGTATTTTTTTATGTTTAATTACATTTACATCAAAAATTGCTAGGAACTAAAGCAATTAAGGTAGATCTAGCTGTTCTTTACATCCATAAACGTTATGTGTCAGTGGAACAAATGGAGTGAGCTTTGAGCGTTCCACGATTTTTGGAGACTGTCTATACGCGGGCTTCCTAAACAAGCCTATATGTATGTTCGTCCAAGAAATTTTTGGACGAAATACAAACCGCACAACTTCAAAATCGCATAAAAATAATCCGCATAAAAAGAGACCTTACAGTATATGCATTTTTTTCCTCTTTAATGAACTATTTGCTGATTTAGTGTAAAATCATCTTAATTACCAAAGTTAATAAAGTCTGAGAAAGATTTATTATGCATTTTTTTTTTTAGCTAATTTTATAGTTTATGAAACACAGTATTTCTACTCTTGCATTTCATTTGGTCACTTGGATGGATGAAATAAGGCGATGCAACACATGGGTTATTTGTCAAGGAGGTCATCTTCCTGGGAGATTTTCTATGGGAAATTGGCTCTTATTTAGATTTTAGACATATGAAGATAACTTGTAAAAACTATACATGGTCAATGTAGTGGTGAGATGCAAATTTGCAACCAACTGCCATTGAGTGATCAATGGTTTTATACACTCTGTCACTGGTGGATCATTCAAAATTTGAAACAAATGCCATCAGAGGTTGAATAATGTCTTTACCAATTTGAGCAATCTCTACTTATTTTTCATGTGTTGTTTTCCATTTTGGTATTTGCATTATCTCAAGTTGAAGATGTCACTATGGAAGAGAAAGAGCTGCCATTGTAGCTTCTGAGAATAAATAGACAAAGATATTCCTTGAAATGGAATCTGTAGTATTCAAGTTAGTTAAAAACAAGAAAGACAAATAAGTATAATTGAGTTTTTTTTAGCAAGAAATATGTGTAGAATTTTGTAACTAGAATATATTCCATATAATGTATACCATATGTATAATAACTGTCAGAAAATTTTTTAATTTTAAGTATAGAATGAACATCCTAATTAACACTATTGAGAATTTGGTCTTCTAAAATTTGCTAATTAGGACTTTTTCTGTATATGTATATAGTAACTTGTATTTTATTTAATCCTATAGGCACATAAGTGTGGTCAAAATACGCCCAGATGGATTTTTGTAATGTTTTTAAAATGAAATTATTCATATTTCTCAAGTCAAAGTTTTTGATCTGTAAGAGGCAATGATTCACATTTCATTTGTATTATAGTGTCTTGAAGTTTAAGTTTAAACAGGCATTTAGAGATGCTGATAGTAATTTTACAATAATTTTTTGACATTGTATTTAATTTCAGAAAGGTTGAAAAAGCAAGATTTGCTCTATTTCATATCCAAGTGTTTTGACTGATTATTAAAAAATATGGTAAACAGAATTCCAGCTGTCAGTTACCATTTTTGCATTTTGTAAATGTTTTAATGAAATGGTGATAACAATTTGAAATTGGAAACAAAAGTGACAAAAGCATGTGCTGCCATGGGGAATATATATATATATATATTCCCCATGTATATATATATATATAGTAATTTCATAACACTCTTTGGATTTAATAAACTACCATGTATATCTTTATAATTTATACATTTCTATAATAAAGCATATGATTTAGTATTCTGGTCCTTACTTTTTATTAATTCATTCTCAAAAATGTTTTCTGCAAAAAAAGATAACATTTATTTCTCTTGCTCTTTAGAGGCATCATCATCAACTTCAATTACTGTCTTTTCACAATAATATATTAGAAAGTTTACAGTTTACTCTTAATACCAATAATTACAGATGATATTTTTATTAATTCATAGTTATAACAAAGAAATTTTAATATGTAAATGTAGAAAATGCATAGATGTTCAAAATGATTTTGCAGCACTGTCACTTTCTACATTAAATGATTCATTTCAAAAGCATGTATGTGTTATTCAATCACTTAAAAAATCATTCACTTATTTAAATCAAACAACAAAAATTAATGAGTACTGTATTCTCAAATTAAATTTTAATCCCATTATGACAACAATGCCTGAGTAAAGATTGTTAACTATTGATGCTGAATGAAAGAAAACAAGAAAAAAGTGGATAAAACTGCTTGAATAGTGGTGGTTAATCATGGGTTGTGCATAACCAACCATGGGCAAGCCACATGGAATTTTCTGGGTTTTCTTTATGTATCTAACACTTAAATAGGGTCTAGTTTCTAATAAAAGTCTTCCTGGAAGGCACCTCTAGCAGATTGTCCATGTGTTACATTGCCTTATTCCATCAATCCAATCCAAAAAAATAAGTGAACTCAAATATAAACTGTAAAAACCATCTATGACTAACCTGGCTGCAAAGAGTTTATCTCCATAAATCCCTCTCTCTGTTTCTGATTGCAATAATTTCCAAATAACTTATTTTTTGTATTCAATCTTTTGTTTTATGTATGTGTAAATAATGTACACTGTAATGTACCCACTGTAATGCTAGGGCACACCTAGCATTACAGTGGGTGATCAGATAACGAACACTTCACTGAACAAACATAAAAATAAGCGATGGAAATATAGATTGATTTTCCTTTGTCTTCAGGTAACAATTCAAAACTTTTCAGAGCACAGGAGATGTCAATGTCGACTGATCAGATATATACTGATCAGATAGTATTCCTCAAACTTTGAAATACTTCCTTGTAATTCCAGCCTTTTATTTTTCTGACAATTCTTTTATAGGATTTGTGAGACTGTCAGACGGGCATTCATTAAGTTTTGCGTTGGTTTTTATTTTCGAAAGGTGAGAGTATAATAGCAAAGGTAGAGAGTGGGCAGAAGATATCTGATGTTGCTGAGCATTATGGCTTGAACAAATCTACAGTAGGGTGCAGTTCAGTCTTATCTAAGAAAGATACAGTATAATTAAGAAAACTCAACCAGCTAAAGGAGTAACAAAAATCACATCTGAGAAATAAAGAACATTGAAGAGCTCATAATGGAATCTGAAACGGATCGGATGACAGAAGAATACCAAGAACTCTTGAATGAAGAACACCAAGAAACTCGGCAAGATATGTTTTCTTCTGAAAAAGAGAATTAATGCCGATATCTGCTATTAAAGATCTTTTGAAGAAGTGGGGGATATCAGATCAATGGTCTTAGTATGGCATACAAACCAGGTTGAGGTTAATAGGCTTGGGGATCTCTACAATTACAATGCTATTAATTCTGAAAATCCTGAAGAAGAGAGAAAAGCAATTGACATTAGACAGATTATTTAACCCCCACAAACAAAAAATATGACTAATAAAAATGCAAGACTGTGGATATATGTATTTTTATTATTACATATAAATAAACGTAGTAAGAAAGTATATATTTTTTATTTTTTGGGGTCTTCAAAACGAATTAATCAAATTTCCATACAAACCTATGGTAAATTGATAATCAGTTAACGAACAATTCGGATAGCGAACAAAGTCTTGGAGCGGATTATGTTTGTTAACTGATCACTCACTGTATTTATTTCAATATGTTAGGTTTGGATTTTGAGAGGTCAAAGTATATGGATAAAAAATGTCAAAGTATGTTGTTTCTTCAGTAACCTGGTAATAAAAGGTCAGGCTCTTAAATAAAAAAAATTCTCTTATTGAACAATTTTATTTCTTATTTTAATCAATTTATTGTGTTGTTTAAATTGTTTCATTTTTAAAAGATTAATTCTTTTAAGAATAATATTTTTATCAATTTTTTTGTAATTATTTAAATTTAAAAGAAATTATTAAAGGAAGGAAATAAATTTTTCGATAAAAGTTTTAATATATGTTATAATTAAATATATTAAATGCATAAAATATAATTAAACATATTTTTTTTTGAAAACTAATTATAGTTTTATTATAAAATTTATTTTAAAATATAAGTAATAATTTAAAGTAAATTATATATTTGAACTATTCAGTTTATTTTATTTGCATATATTTAATATGTAATCAGTCTACAGAATGAATAATTATAGAATATTTGTCATAAAAGTTAACAGTTTTTCTTTATTTTAATGTTTATTTAAAGTCATTATGATAAAAGATTATTTTAATGTTAAAACCTATTAATAATAGGTTTTAACCCTATATATAGGTTAAATAATAAAATATCTGAGAAAATAAATTTACTAATACTGAATCTTAATAATAACAATTGTATTGTTAACAGAAAAACAGCAGTTTACCAAGCAATTTGAATAAAGTGGGACTTTATAATTATCCACATGAAAAGACAAAGTTCAGATCAATTGGTAATTTGACTTTAAATAATGAAGAAGATAGCTCATCTCAGAAGTCATCTAAGAATGTTAGTAGTAATGAATCAGTAATGAGTCCTAATATAAAAGGTAAATTTTCTTATATATGTAATAACTTTACTTAATGAGATTGATTACAATGTTTTTATTAATAGAAAAAGAAGTTGTAAATAATTCTGATGAAAAACTGTTGCGAAAGGAGGTATGAGAATTTATAATTATATATACACACATATATGCACACACACACAAATGATAAACTACTGGATTTCTTAGCCAGGCTGTTTTTATTTTAATTTGAAATTAATTTAGCAATGAATTTAATACTATGAAAGAGAGAAAGTTGTTAGCTTATGGAAATTTTAATTGTTAAAATATGAAATTGATCCAAGATCCAAAACAGGCCATCGTGAATTTAAATCTCATTCTAAACCATATCTATTTTTTAAAGATTTCTAAGTTGTTTTTTAAATTAGTAGTTTAATTTAGAGAAATATCCAGAGAATATTTGATTTCTAGAGTTGCATAATTTTTTTGAAAATAAACAGTTGGAAAATAAACAGGCCTTAAGTGCAGGCTGTTCATGGGTCCTAGGGTGAGAAGTGCTTAACCACTTGTCTTTGTATCATTTCCTTTGGAATTTATACTGATAGTTCTAATGATTTAAGTTTACAAGATGCTTTTAGATAGTTTTGAATGAAATTATACTTTAATATTTTATGAGAAGAGTTAATTTTTATCATATATATTCATATTTATTATTATGAGGGAAAATCAAAAAGTAATACGTCTTTTATTAATAAAAATTTGTGGGTATTGTTTTTTGTAACAAAAAACAAAATTTTCTCATAAGAATGTTGTTTTCAATATTTAACAGATAGTTTTGTTAGATCTTTACATTGGTATTTTTGAAACTGTGCCAGTAATCTTTCAAAAACATCTTTCAAATTCAAACACAAATTATTTATTGTATGTGTACAGACACTTGGCAAATCACAGAATTAAATTTTATTCAGTTGCTACGTGTTCTTTTCATTTATACACATTTCGGGCATTTCTTGCCCCTCTTCAGCCAACTAAAATAAAAGTTCACAAGTTACAACAGTATAAACAAACATATAAGGTCATGTTATTTTAAAACATACCTTTTTGATTACAGATTATTGAAATTTAAAACTATAAATTCCTTTGCCCATTTTACTAAATTTTTTATTTATGGTTTTGAACCATTTAAAACATTGACTTCTTATTATCTAAAAAATTTTAAAAATATTTTTTATATTTAACTGCATTTTATCTAAAGATTTTACATTAATTATCTTGTATACATTTATTTTGCTAACAATACTACAAATTACATACCTAGTTATTCATTTTGAATTGTTATAAAGTTTAAACAATTTTAAAATTTCTTCCATACACTTACAATCACGTTTAAATTGATTTAACAATTAAAATTTACATACTAGTCTTTCATCAATATTGAAGTAATCCTTCCATACAAACATATTTCTCTGACCTTTCCTCCCCCTTTTCCCCCAGTTAAGTTTGTCCACTGTCTACTACACAGTCACATGACAGTAGGCCACCTTGTGGGAACATTGTTTTAAAAATTACTTTTCTACATAAAAAATCATTTACATAAAAATCTTTTTTAAAAATATTCCTAATTTTATAAGATACGAAAACTGGCTCAATATATTATAAAATTAGGAATATTTTTAAAAAAGATTTTTACGTAAATGATTTTTTTATGTAGAAAAGTAATTTTTTAAATATGTAGGAGATCCCTTACTTCCTCTATCTTAAATTCGGTAATCCTCAACTCTTCCTCAATAAATCTTCCTAGACTTTCTCTAATATTCATATTCTCAGACAAAGGGTATCCTAATAATATCAAATTAGACTGATTTGATATATTTATAATATCGTTTGCCAAATATTGTTGGGCTTCTAGTTTCCTATTCAATTCCGGCAATGCTATTTCTAAATTATTAACCCTCTGTTCCATTAATCCAAGTCTAGTCTTAAATTCTTTATTATCCCCATGTAGCTGATTTATCTCTGTTTTAAGTTCTAATATTAGTTCAATTATATCTCCATGTGAAGCTTGAATTAATTTAGTCATTTGGCGTAAACTTGAGGTCTTCTCTCTCTATCAACTCCAAACAGTCCACATATGTAGATTCAAAATCAAATTCACTCACCTCCTCTGCTGTTTTCTCACTTTTCTCCTTCTCCCTCGAAGCATACATTGGATTACGTAACATGTTCTCCAAATTAGTCGGTCTAGACATCTTAACGGCATTGTTACTTCTCGTTGATGGTGGTCAACCTCTCTTCAGTAGGGAATGTGATAAAAGGCCCTGATTTTGCTCAACTCCGGCCAAAATAAGCAAGTACTGTGTTATTAATATTAAATATACTTTAATCCATAATATATTCATCATTTAAATTCCTATTAACTCTTCAAAACAAGCTCTCAGTAAAATCACTCCAATACCGATGAACGCCAGAAGTGCTCCCATACATATTTATAATTATTAGTCATACTATAATCTGATTAAAATCTGACAGTATCATTTATTACTGTAAAACTTTTTTAAAATTCAATAGCAGATAATTTTATGAATTCTGATAATAGATTCCTGTTATATAAATATTGAATGTTTTAAAATTTTAAACTGTATAAAAGAGGTTAAATAATAATAATTTTAAAAAATTTGTATTTAGTTAGAACAGTTAAGGCATAAAATGAACCAGCCATGTGAAATGTGTAGGAATTATGAAATACAACTGCAACAAAAACAGAAATTAGAGCAGCAACATCAAAAAGAATTAGATAGATTTCAACAAATTCAAGAGCAGTATAAGCAAGACTTACAGAAAGAACAAATATATCGTACTGAAATGGAACAGGCTGCTATTGAATTGGCCAAAAATTCTGAAAAAGAAGTATGTTTTGAATTTGTATCATATTATGTGAATTTGATTGCTTGAAATTTTTTAAAAAATGAAATAAATTTTTTATAAGATTATAGATCTCCTTAAAAGATTAGAATCAAATGAGAAGCTTCTTTATGAATTAAAATCTGATTTCTCTTTTTACAAAGAGAGTATCCAGGAACAGTTGGTACATATTTTATTTTTAATTGCAATTTTTATTTATTTTTATTATAATAATGGAATTTAATATTTTTTTTTTAGAAACAATTATGTAATTTCATAGAAGAATTAAAAGCAGAGGTATGCTTTATAAAGTTTACTTTTATAAAACACTAATTGAATGTACTACATATTTGTATAATATGCATTTATATGTAATATATTAAATAGTAGACAGTGTGTCCAATTATAATTATATATTATACCAATATTTACATAATATATATATACATTATAAAATTAATTTATTTAAATTGCAAAAGGAATTTTACTTACTCAGTGCTTAATTCTGTAATAAAATGAGTTTATCTGTAATAGAATGCTTTAGAAGTACTACTTTAATTAATTTTCCTTGTAAAGATTTTAATATAAAGAATTTTAAATCAAGAATGAATTAAAATTAGTGATGTAATGAATATTTGGTTACTATTTGGTATTCGGCCTATTTGGCCTATTTTTCACTATTCGGCCGAATACCTAAAAACAGGAGTAATAAATAACAAAAACACAGTAAATTAATCATTTTGGTATTTAGATTTAATGTTATCAGGTTAGTGTTGTTTGTTTATATTTATTTATAACTTATAACATGCACAAAATAAAAAAAGAAAATAATATTAGTCACTTGTATTCACAATTTATAATTACAAAGATCAGCACACATACACACCTATTCGTTCAAGAATTGTCGCACATCTGAGGGTCTGACCCTGCCTATCTTTCTTTTTAAGCGCTTGTCTTTGTTCTTCCCTTTCTCTTTCCTTTATCGCTCTAGTCCACATATGCCTATGCATACATCATAATACGCCCTCACAATACTTTCGATTCGTCACTTTTCCATCGTAGATTTCCCATTTTACAATTACGTGACTCATAGCCTGGTGATAATGGAGAAAAGAGAGAGATAGGATGTCAGTATAAGTCACAGTTATGATTTCACAGATTTGAAACAGCTTGGTAGCCCGAACAACCCCAGGCTTTCACTGGTGCATTCTAAATGACTTTCATTACAAGCATTTAGCTTTCTGAAGTCTATGACAATGATTGTTTGGCATTGACGGCTGCGAATTTCGCGCAAATAAGCTGCCTCGACTTGTTCGAGGCAGCTTATTGAATTGATAACATAATCGACTTGTTCGATTATCAACTCAATCGAACAAGTCGACACAATCGACTTGTTTGATTATGTTATCAACTCAATTTCATATTTATTTTCACATTTTCACTTTGCGGTCCTTCTCTGTTCTTCTTCCATTATTTACACGTGTAGATCATTTTGTTGTTATCATCACTTCTCACATACCGCCATGATGCTCTTGTCTGAACTGTCAAGAATTAACACGATTGGCGAAGCGTAGTGACAGTGGGCCAATAGAGAGCAGGGTCCTTGCCATAATGCGGTTTGCGCGCCAATTTTCGTACGTGTGTTAATCAAGCCAAATAGTTTGGCCGAATATTCGGCTATTCAGCCACGCTCCTGGCCGAATATACTATTCGTTGCAACACTAATTAAAATAACTATGTAGTTTATTGAAATTTTACATTATATACTATAAACAAACATCATGAAACCTGATAAATTTGTAAAGCCAAACAACCACTGGATTACATTGGGCTACCAATTCATTTCTTTCAGAATATTCTAAATTATTTTAAATATTAATTTAATTATAATTATTAAATTTAATAAGAGATGGCACCTAATGCCTTCCTCTAGTGACAAATTATTTAGTAATTAATTAAAATATAATTATGGAAAAGTAGCCTGATGTAATGCGGTGATTGTTTGGCTTTAAAATTTCAATAATTTTGTCCTGCTGCTATTGTAACAAAACATATTTAAAGTAACATTAACTCGAACTGTCTTCAGATGTTACAATGTATTGATATAATGCTTCAAGATAGTTAAAGTTTCAGATAGTTTAGACAATATACATGATAGTTGTAAAGATTTAAATTATTAAATTAGTTTGTGTGGTTAAAAGAAAAAAAAAGTTATATATAAATAAATTTTGATCATGTAATGCATTATGACAAAGTTTTGAGGATATTTTGATCTATTCAATAAACAGTTTTTAGTTTTTGACATTAATGAATATCTGAGTTATTGTAAAATTATTTTAAATATTTTATTATTATTGTCTAAAGAAAATTATAAATAAAATATTAAATTGGAGAAAGATTAAAAATAATAATAATTTTTTTTTTTTTTTTTTTACAAATTANACAATGGAAAATGATATTCTTATTGGTAAACATATCACAAAAGCTCAAGAATTATTACAAGAAAATATTGATTTGCCCAGTGATCTAGAGGTAATTTTATTAATTTTTATTTTGTTATTGTTTTAAAAATGTTATTTCATCTCAATATTTTAATATTAGGAAATTCAGTTTTATTGTCTGAAACTTCGAGAAGACTTAATAACATCACTTGTTAATAAGGATACTATTGAAAACAATTTAAAAAGTGAATTATTATTTATTAATGATCAGATGAAAGCGGAACAATATTCTAAAGAGTTATTGATAAAAGAATTAACACAAGAAAACGATAATTTGCATACACAAATAGGTAATTTGAAGTATTTGCAAACTATATTTCTCTGCTCACAAAATACAATTTAATATATTTTTATTATTTTCAGTAAATTTTGAAAATATGAAAAAACATTATCAAGAAGAATTAGAAAAAATTTCAGAAAAAGAACACCAGTTTTCTAATTTAAAAGCTCAGTTCCAATTAGCTCATCAAAAAATTTTAGATCAAGAAAGAATGTTGGGAGAATATTCTATAATGAAAGTAAGTAAAAGAAAATATTCGTTTAAAACAGTATTGGCTGTGATAAAGTAACAAATGCATTTTTAACAGAGAGTAAGATTGGAGAAATGCTAGTGTTTTCAGCCTGGTTAGCAGACTACTTTATTCATTTGTAACTGAGTGGATAAAACCACTGAACTCCAGTAGTAGGTTGCAGGTTTATTGCAAATACTTAACATCAGTTACCAACTTAAAATCATCAAATACAATATTTTAATTATAGAAAATTGTTCCAAATCTCACTTAGTATCAAACCTTGATTGAAATTCATTAATTTAGTTAATAGATATTCATTCTAGTTATACAGTAGGGCATCGTTTATCCGAATCAATTGGGGACTGGGGTTGTTCGGATAACTTATTTTTCAGATAACCGATTATGTACGAAAAAATATATTAACCTATCCTGTGTTGAAATTTTTCTCCGTTGCGTGTCGATTCATGTTGAATTTTTGTTGATGTTAAGCCTAACGTAAACTTTTTAAAATAATAATCGTGGCTATTGTATCGTTAAAAATTATTTCTTTATTTTGTACAAACAAAATAAATATATTTAAAAATATAAAAACAATAAAAAATTATACTTCAGAAGTTAATTTGGTATCAAAAACATAAAATATTTGAGTAGCCCAAGACATAGCCAAAGATTGCAGCGCCACAGCACTGGTGAAAATTTAAATTTGGCGACTGGAATTCTTTCGGATAACCAACTTTCGGATAAACGATGCTCTACTGTATTTCAATAATTTCTTTTTGTAAGGACTTTTTAATTGTCAATGTGTTCAACAAGGTATTGTTTATATTGTATATAATTAAATATTTTTACATGGCAATTTATAGGAGATTGATTATAATTTAGTGTTATTGCTATTTTATGTTCTTTATATTATTATTTTTAACTGACTGCCTACTTATTTTCAGCTGTATTGAAGTTAACTTTAATTAAGTATTTTAAGTATCCAAATTTAGCCTAAAGATAGATGATTAAGTTACATTCTTGGGTATAGATTAATAAATAGAAAATTTGGAATTTAAGTAATTTAGTAAATTTTGGAAAGTAAAATTAATTCAGAATTGGACTTGAACCCTTACTCTGTCTATACTATCCAGACTATTGACCCAAAAAATAATCTGGAAGTTTATACTCAAGTGTTTAAGTTTGGCTAACAATTTGGGCTATATATATATAGTAGCATTAGTCCAGTTATCCAAGATAATGTGAATCAATACAATTTTGATAATTGAAAACACCAATAAAATGAATGATTATAGCCCATTTGTATTAAAAATTATAAGTACAAAAGATTTATAAGTTTCTTTTATACCTTTTAAACTCTTTTAAACCTCTTATAAGACTCATATATAATAATATTTTATACATTATTTATTATACAGCTAACACATACAATAGTTTAAGAATAAAAATTTGTATTATCGTAGTTACATTTTAATATGAATGGTTTGTGTCACATTGAAGTTAAATGATAAAAGGAAAGAGAAATGAATCATTTTGTAATATATGTTGTTGTTAAATATTGTTAATTGTTGTTAATTGTTGTAATACATGTTTGTACTTTTTTAAAAAGTTATTTAGAGTTTGCTTTATTACACTTCCTCTTTTTGCTGTAATATTAACCAGTCATCTCAGTATCATTTTTCATGAGATGTCTGTTTCAGATTTGTTGACCTCTTTCTCTCATTCTCCACCCTTCCTCATTGTGGATCTGGCTGAACCTGTAATGAGCTTGGAAATAAACCCTCTTAGTGTTGAGGGTAGAAACAATTAAAAAGAAAATCAACCTTAGCATCAACTACCCACTCTTACAGTTAATGCTAAAAGTATTATAGTATTTGCATGCTTGGTGCATTCACAGCCAAACTTTTATGAATTATAAGAAAAATTAAGTGTATTTGTTTACATGTTTGCCTCAGATAATACAGAACCTCAATTAATTGGAGCTTTGCTGTATACTCTTAAAATTTCTATGAGAAACCATTTACATATAATGTTGTGACTATACAAATAAACCTTTGTGTTTTCACCTGGATAAACCTATATGCATTGTACTGTATATTACACTCCATTATCTAATTATAACAACATTTTATCCAATAACAGCATCTTTATTACAGTTTTTAGGGAAACTGGTAGTTTGGCTAGTGGTATAATAAATCTGGTTTAGTATAATAGATCTAAATACATAATAAGTTCTAGTTAATAATTGTTCATATAGTATATATTTAGTACAATATTTTTATAAAAAATTTTTATTAATAGGAAAATTCAGAAATGCAAGCACAGTTGCTTAAATCAAATATTCAAAATCTTCAGTTTGAACTGGAAAATAGAGAAATGGTGCAGAAGGATCTTGTTAAATTAACCCAGTCTCTTCAAGTAAGAATGTTATTTTTTTTTTATCTGATTTATTTAATACTCAATTACAAAAAAGATTAAAAATGTCTTTCTTATTAGCTATTTATTTGAAGTTAGCTGTTTGATTCTCATTGATTTTCTATTTACACAGTAGTCACCATTTATGCCTGAAAATATTTTTCATTTATAATTGACTAGCTTACCCATCGTACATTGTTGTGATCTCAGAAGAAACAAAATTCAAGCAAACTCGTTATGATAAAATGATCAATTTACATTTTATCATTTTTATTGAAACTTATTATTATTATTATTCATTTTCATCAGGAAAACATTTCAAAGTGTCGTTTCAGTTCTATTTATTTAATGGGATGCTTGTGGATACATGATATTTTTTGTTTTTCCATCTGGTGCTTACATGAATAAATCAGGTTTTCTGACGCGTGAGCAGGCCACATACAGTTGTCCATGCGAGAAGCATGGATTCTCCAAATTTAGCCCATACACTCGCAGCGATTGTCAGAAGCGCGATATTCCCCATTTATATATATATATATATATTTTTTAATCCTTTATAATTTTAATTATTTAATTGATCCTTCCTCTCTTCCTTGGCATGTTGTGAAATTTCTGATAGTTGGATAATAAACCGTTTTATTGTAATTTGTCTTTTTAAATTATTTTGAGTTGATATTAAAATTTGGAAAAGGGGGGATTCCAGGATCGGTAAAATAGGCGAATTTCCTCCTACAACTTCTGTTGTTGTTTAGGATACAGTTAAGGTTTTAACAAAGTTTGAGCGAATAGTAATTAGCAAAAAATAATTAGCAAAAAATAGTTGAAATAAAGTGATTAAACAAAAATTATTACAAATATTGTAAATAACAGTTCACAAATGCACATATAAAGATATTTTTTGAAGGGGGAAATGGTCTTCACAATTTGAAATTGATCGAACACACAGTATAAACGCACGCCATCTATTGTAGGATAAATGTACTATGCCAGAAACCTTTGCGGGAGTGTATTAAAAAATTTCCAAAGTTTTATGGTAGTCGTACTATGCCAGAAACCTTCGCGGGAGTATATTAAACAACTTCCCAAAGTTTCATGGCAATTGGATAAACAGTGTGGTAATGCATGAAGGACGAACAGACAGACATACATTCATTTTTATATATATGGATTTATTTAATTTAATTCTTCATCTTGTATCTTTTAAGTATAGAAATAGTAATGAATAGATTAACAAGTTAATTCTCAAATCATTAAATAAAATTCATCTATTTTTTGTATAATTGTTTTAAAAAAATAATTCATTCCAAATAACAAATAAAATTAATTTTTATTTGTAGCTTATAATGAGATTTTGCTTTTTTTTCCTACTATGAAGGATTTATAAAATTTTAAAGTTTCCATAACAATAAAATGTAAACACCATTTGTTGAATGTTATCTGCTATCTATAAAATAGCTATCATTAAATGACATATGTAATGTATAAAAAAACTATTCTCTAAATATGCAAATAAATGTAAATGTATAAAAAGTTTCTCATTGAGCAACAAAACTTAACCACAATGTGTTCTGACATCTCATATCCAGCCACAACACAAATTTTGTGTCGTGGCTGGAATCTGATCTTCAGTCTTAGACTGAAGAATCTGACACTTTCAAAAATGCACACAATGCATTTTGGCATATTCAGTGAGACTATAAAGTGAAATTCATGTCAATATTTTTTTAATAATCAAGCAAAATGTAATCTGCAATGTGAAAGCATCACAACACATTGTGATAAAAATATCTGTGCAAAAATTTGTTACTTATTTTTGTACAAATATTACTAATAAATAATTTATGTATAATTTCCACCAAAGGATTTATTTTGAACAATGTTTATTATTAGAAAAATACTCATCAGTGAATAATGTCACAAAACATTATATGATTAAAAGAACCATAGTATAATGTATACAACTCTTTATTTTCTTTTATAATTTACAGTTAATAAGGCAATTTGCTACTAATTGTTTTGTTTATTAATCCTTGATACCTATATATGATACTTTTTTTAGATTTTAAGGTGTTATAGATTTAAGTCAAGTAAGAAATTTATTTGTAAGTCACTTTGTCAATTGATTGCAAATTTGTTTTCAATAATGACATTTCCACAAAGAGACCAACTCCAAACAAATTTTTATATTAATATTAGTAAAAATTAATAATAAATAGAAAGCTTTGTTAGAAATTTAGGCTTACACACAAGATTAATGAGGCTAACTGTTTATTTTCAGTATAATTCACAATGTAGATTAGAATTTGATTTTATTCTAATTAGTAAAGAAATTTGTTACTTACTTTTGCACAGATATTTTTATCACATTATATTGTGGCCACATTAATAAGCATCCACAACATGTTGTTGTGTTTTTACATTGCCAGATCGTATTTTGATTGATTATTAAAAAATATTGAGACACATTTCACTTTTGGTCCTATTGAATATGCCAAAATGTATTGTGCACATTTTTGAAAGTGCCACAACATGAAATTTTTGTTTTTGCTGCATCTGAGAAGCCAGAACACATTGAACACATTGTTTGTTTTTTTTTCTGCTCATTGAACATTTTCAGTCTTTGAGCCTAATATATGTATAATGTATTTAATTATACATTGCGAATTCTATTTTTCAGATAGTAATTTGAAAGCTTTTACCAAGAAACAAAAAAAAAATTGAATAAAACAATTCAAATACTTTCATTGACTTTTAATATCTTCACTTACAAAATTCATCTCCAACTTACTAATAAGAACACCTGAAACTGCTTTGTCAGAGTTCATAAGTTCAGTCAATGAAACAAATTTTCTGAGTACTTTTAGATGTTTTGTCTCTCATCAGAGAAATTAAAATTCAATTTGAATAAATCATTTTTTTAAATTTTAGAAGTAGGACTTGCTTCAGGCTGATTCTTTTCTTTCAGTTTAATCTAAATTATTTAATTAAAATTATAATTATTAAATTTAATATGAGATGGCACCTAACACCTTCCTCTAGTATCAAATTGTTTGGTAATTTATTATTATTATAGCCATTATATATCTCGATGGCATACAGCATTGGTTGGCTTTAGTAATACTCATTTTCTTTTGGATGTAGAAATTGATTTTGTATTTAAAAGAGTTTTGTTTGATGAATATGCCAAACAAAAATCTTATACCAGATATTGAATTTATAAATCAAATAATATTTTAAAAGTTTTAGCATTATTTTTAATAATGCAGTTATTATAATATTGAAGAAAAATGAATAAGATGTGTTGTAGAAATTTTAGGTGCATTAAAATATAAGTTTTGTGTGTTTAGAAATACAATATGCATTATTTTGTTTCTAGATTTTCTGAAAAATTATGTAATGTTTAGAAATATTTATAGTGTTTAATATTTATTATAATTAAATGTAGGTGGAACTTGAAAATATTAGGCAATCAAATAATGAAGTAAGATGGCAACATGATGATGATGTCACTAATTGTTTAACTTGTAAATTGGTTTTTCATTCTTCCAAAGAAAAGGTAATCATTATTTTTAAATATTATTTATTTTAATATTTTTGTACATTGATAAAAACATAAATATTATTATATGAATTAATTATTTGTGCTTATAATTGGTATAAAAACTTAGGATGAATATTGAAGTAGTATTTAAATTTACTTGCAAATTAAATGGAAACTAAGGAATGATATAAATTTTAATCTTCATTTACATATAGTTATATTAGTTATAAATACAAATTCTATTTACAGCATTTTGTAAATTATGCTTATATGGAAACAGAATTTTAAGACAAATTCTGTGTAAATATCTGATTCAGATATATGAATTTTGCAGTCCTCAACTGGGAGAAAAATGCAAAGAAAAATTCTTGATACAGTCAAACTGTTGCACCATTGAATGTGAGCAATTGTTTAGTTGATTGTTACATATCGGAAAGAAGATTACAAGAATTCATATTCATTCACATATTTCTGTAAGGCAGTAAATATGCTAAATTTATGTGATACATCTATGTGTTTCATACTCTGCTTTTTATAGTTTTATGATTTTATTATTTTGAAATAATATAGTTGAATTTTCCTGATAGAAGTTGTAAATTGTACCATGCTTGCATACACTTATTGCCTTTGTAAAATATTTAACACAATTTTATATTGTTTATTATGCTTTTCTGTGTTTATTTAATTTCAGACTTTTGTAAGAATGATTTTATACTTTTGTAAGAATGATAAAAACACATCTCAAAATACAGGAAACTCAATTATCTAAACTGCCAAATTATCTGAAATGTTTAAAAAAATGGAGCATTATACCGTACAGTACATACCACATAATATAATACAGAAAGATGAAAGTCTTTATAACTGGAAATCACTATGTCATGTGTCAATTATAGTGCTGCAAAACTAGATTATATACTGTATGTTGGTAACATTACATTAAATTTTGAGTAAATTAATTTACTTTCCAATACAATACATTACAATATTTATTGTTCATTAACCTTTAAATACACAGGTGCTTGATATAACTAACACACAAAAGCAAATGAGTTTCTGGATTATTTGAAAGTTTGTTTATCCAAAAGATCTGTAGTTCCACAACTTTGGATAATTGCATTTCTACTCTAATAATACAAAAATGTTTAGGAGTTTTTTGTGCTTCTGTATCATTTGAAGGAAGATGTTTTGTATCAGGAATGCATTGAATGTATTCCTGTATTTATTGAATGTCTGTATGTCACCAGTTCCATTTTTAGAAATTCTTGTAATTTTAATTGGATATATTTTTTGTGTTTTTAAAAGGACTTTTTTAACTTCTGGCAACCAGTAGCCTAAAAAGAAAGGTCAGTTGCCAAGAAAGTGTAGTCTGGAACATGAGATAAATAAATGGTGGTTCCTTTTTGGATAGACTTTGTCTTCAGAAAATTATATGAATAATTTTATGAATCATTTTGAAGAATGAATAAGTTTATTTAGGAAGACTTGGATTAATTCAAATGATTAAAATATGGATGATGATGGATTTAGCATGATTATAAAATTAGTTGAAATCAAATTTATACAAAAAATCTAAATAATCTAATGTTCTAATGTTAACAATAAAGTAATTTTATGACATTTTGTAAAATTTTAAATGATTATTTATAGGAATTGTTTTTATATATTTAAAAAACTTTAAATATCTACAAAGACCTAATGAAAAGTGTTTTTAAAATAATTTCTATTATGATGTCTCTTTTTGAATTAATTTTTGAACCATATATTTGGCTTGTTTAAAAATTTTATAAATTTTAAACTAAAGGAATTACTTTGATCTCTTGGTTAAATAATGTTAGATTTTTTTCAGATTATATTCTGATAATTAATTGACAGTATAAAACTTAAAATATGCCAATATTTAGGTATGGATATATTCAGTACAGGCATACTCGACTTACGTCGTTTCGAGTTACGTCGTTCTCGATTATACATCGTTTGTCAAAAAAAGTATATGGAAAAATAAAAATCAAGTTTAAGTCATTTTATTCGACTTTACGTCTGTTCGCCACAAATATTGAAGTCGTAATATCACTAAAAAAACTTTTAAAGCGCACAAAATCATATTAAAATATATACAAGTATGTACTGTATTTACANTCTAATGTTAACAATAAAGTAATTTTATGACATTTTGTAAAATTTTAAGCGATTATTTATAGGAATTGTTTTTATATATTTAAAAAACTTTAAATATCTACAAAGACCTAATGAAAAGTGTTTTTAAAATAATTTCTATTATGATGTCTCTTTTTGAATTAATTTTTGAACCATATATTTGGCTTGTTTAAAAATTTTATAAATTTTAAACTAAAGGAATTACTTTGATCTCTTGGTTAAATAATGTTAGATTTTTTTCAGATTATATTCTGATAATTAATTGACAGTATAAAACTTAAAATATGCCAATATTTAGGTATGGATATATTCAGTACAGGCATACTCGACTTACGTCGTTTCGAGTTACGTCGTTCTCGATTATACATCGTTTGTCAAAAAAAGTATATGGAAAAATAAAAATCAAGTTTAAGTCATTTTATTCGACTTTACGTCTGTTCGCCACAAATATTGAAGTCGTAATATCACTAAAAAAACTTTTAAAGCGCACAAAATCATATTAAAATATATACAAGTATGTACTGTATTTACAGTACTGTACATGCATTCATAAATTTAGATTACTTTTTTCTGTACTATATTAAAAACTAAAATTTATTTGTTTGTAAGCTTAAAATAGATTTTTATTAACCATATATTATTAAAGATTCATTTATAAATAAAATACGAAACTGGAAATGGTTATTTGTGGTTTAGCCTAGTGACAAATAAATTCGGAGACAAGTGAATTCGACTTATATCGTTTTTCGACTTAAGTCGCCTCTCCTGGAACCAATTACCGACATAAGGCAAGGTATACCTGTATAAACTCNTGTACTATATTAAAAACTAAAATTTATTTGTTTGTAAGCTTAAAATAGATTTTTATTAACCATATATTATTAAAAATGCATTAATAAATAAAATACAGAACCGGGAATGGTAATTTACAGCATTAATAAATAAAATACAGAACCGGGAATGGTAATTTACATAAGTAGATTCGGAGACAAGTAAATTCGACTTAAGTCGTTTTTCGACTTACGTCGTTCTCCTGGAACCAATTACCGACATAAGGCGAGGTATACCTGTATTATAGATATGTAAATATTCATGTTTAAATAAACACTAATTTACTTACATTTGCTTTTAATTACTACTAATGAATTTCAAATATATATAATTTGTTTGTTTTGTTCAATAGCAAATACTGTATTTATTTTAATTCACTGCACTGTTGCAATATGTTATGGACAGTGCCCTCTAAAAGAGTGCTGTTAGTTGGAGAAAGATAAGACTATTGTAAACTGAAAAATTGCACGTTCATTTAGTCTTGCCACTCCTACTTTATGTTAAAATCAAGTATGAGTATTGGGTCGAGTGTTAATTGTTGTTTGAATAATAATTTTCAAAGAATAGAAATAATAAAACACTCTAATAGTAAATATCCTCTACTAAACATTGCAGTTGCAAGCTGAAGAAAGTTATAAGACAGCATACTATTCATTAGAATAAATACAGTATATAAAGACTTGCAGAATAATTAATATAAAATTTGTGGAATTCAACAATTTGCTTGATTGAAAATATGCCAGTTATGAAATATTTTTTAATCCTTAAATGTTCTGTATTTATTAAGAGCATATAATAAAATAATTTGTACTTTGAGAAGTTATGCCAGACAATAAATAAACATTTTCAATTATGAAAGTTAAAAATATATTTCTTCTTAGAAATAACAAAATAGAGACAAATGAACAGAACGCTCGGGAAGAAATGTTAATATCAACTTGTTAAAATAGAAATGTTATTAAATAATATATTCTGAGATATTATTGAATTAGACTTATTAACAGAAATTGAAACATTATGAAGGATTGATGGATAAAATTAACATATAAGATAAATGGAACAAAATGATAAATGGTTAAGTGTAAAAAAAAAATTAAGAACTGATATCAATTACAAATATAAAGAAGCAACACAGAAAAAATTAATCAAAAATAGAAGGCAATGCAGCATTGAATGAAGGAAAAAGTTGATATCTGTTAGATTAACAGAATACTATGAAAAATTAAATATTCAACACATTTATGACAAATTCTATAATTTCATTACTAACTTATTCATTTATTATATATTGCTACATTAAAATATATTTTAATAACTTACTAAAAAGATTAATCAGCTTCAATTGTATTAATATTTTAGATTTTTACTTTAGTAGTGTATTGTTTTTTAATTTTATTAGTTTTTTGTTGAATTACTTTATTTTTATTTATGAGTCTTTGTTTTCTCATAACTTATTTATGCAGTAGACTTAGGAGAAATAAATCTCTTTAAATCAATGCAGTAAAAATGTGCAATTGATTTAAAGCTCTAAGTACAGAAGTTTTTCTGATAATTGTGTTTTTCCTATCTTATTTTGATTATATTGTTAGCATTGTCTTAATAAGAATGAGGATAAAGAGAATAAGTATAAACAGTACAAAAAGTGAAATTTTAATAATTTTCAGATTTTTTTTTTAGTTAGTGAAGTGTTAATTTTATAGTGTTTAATATAAATAATAAGTAATAAAAACTTTATAAAGATAATAATATTTATTTTTTATTTACATAGGTTCACTGTTCCCATTGTGGAAAGATATTTTGCAATAATTGCCGTTCAAAAGTGGTGCACGGAGGACCAAGAAACCGTCCATTCAATGTCTGTGCCGCATGTTATTCTCTTTTGGACCAAGAAACTGTACCCTATTTTAGCAGTGAAGCATTAGCTTCATGTGATCAATAATAATGCTATTATTATTATAGTTTTAGAATTGTTATACAAATTTAAAAGCTATTAATGTACATAGCTGAATTCACTTAAACTCTTATTAAAAATAGATTATATATATGTACAAATTATAGTTCCATACATATATATTCAAGTGCCATCCAATTATAATCTTTTTAATCTCAATAATGTTGATACGAATATGTATATATACAAGAAGAAAATGTTTAAAATTTGATATCCGAATTTTAATTGTTTGTATATAAGTTTATAGTACGTTATATTTATTTGCTTGAAAAATATACTTTATGAATACATTCCTTTTGTTTTTGCATTAATTTGACTAACTTATTTTTAAACTTTGTTATAATAACAAATTTCAATATTAAAAATGTCTTCCAGTTATCTAAAATAGCAAGTTGTAAAATTTTAGAGAGCAATAACTGATGAATTATAAAAAATGAAATTCTGATTATGAAATTATGGAATAAGTGTTGTTTGATTATATGTAATGAAGAATTTTCTCAAATTATTTTTTCATATTCATTACTTTTAAGGAAAATTATATATACACAAACACACACTCAAACTGTTTTAAAGTTGTTTAAATAATTAAAATGTTTTCCAGAAATAAATTATTTATGCAGAATTATATAATTAAGTGCCAATAAAATGTTGAATTTGAAAAAATTTGTATTGTATTTTTAATATTTATTTAAAATATATTTTTTCTTTATAAAGGATAGATTTGTTCCTAGAATATTTATTATTATAATTTTTAAATCTGGAATGAAAAAACTTTCTTACTGTACTTAATCAGAAAAAGAGTTAATTTTACAAAAATTAAATTTAATATTAAATCAACATATTCAAAACTATTTTAAAAATTTTTTTGAAAGTATGAGGAAGACATAATGATTAATAGTTTAACTCTCTCTATTCTCACTATATATATATATATATATATATAAATTTTTAAATATTTCCGTTACAAACATTCTTAAAAGTTATTTTCGACTTTAAAACTGAACTCAATTGTCTAATAATGATAATTTTTCCTCAATTAACTTGTAAGTAGGATATCGTAATGCAATTAGCAAGTGGCATTTTGTCAAAAATAGCTTTCTTAATAGGCACGAAAGTTAGGATAAAGACTATACAACAAAGTGTATAGTGCATTGTTAACACTTAAAAGCATAATGAGGTCATACAATTGAATTTTATACATTTTATATAAAAGTTAGCTATTTATTTAAATTCCAAGTATATAAAATATTTAATTATATTAAAGTAAAAAAAAATTCCAATTGTTTTTTGGATTTTATCCATTTATTTTATTATTTTTTAGTTTAAATAGTTTCCAGTATTACTTGTGCATCAAATACCTGTTCTACTTCGAATTTATTGATTAAGTTTTTTAAAGAATATTCTCTACATTAAATTTTAATTTTAAAAGTATCTAAAATATTCATGACAGTCTCCGATTTAATTTATTCGAGTAATAATTTTTTTTAATCAATTTTTTTCCCTCCCCCGTTTGAAATTTTTAAATGTTATGATTAATCGACATGAATTTTCCGTTTTTTATTATGGATGATAGTCACTTAAGATTTATATCTACGTAAATAGAAACTTAAATCAATTTTTGTTCTATTTAAACTCTGCTTTCATTTATAAAACGCGAAAATTTAGACATAAGATTTTATTTATTTATTTTTAATTTTTATTTTTCGTCCGTCTTTCGTAGGCGTATGCGATTGAATTTATTTTTCCAACACTCCCATCTCAACTATCAGAAATTTAGGCGTATAGACTTATTTTTGACATCGTTACATAGATTTACAGGTTGATAAACTTCAAAGGTTAACTTTTTATTACTTGGAAAACAGGCTTTAATAATGCCCATGTCCAAAACATAGACGATGTTAAACCCACGATATCAATTATATGTGAACATTTTCTTTCTAACAAGTTTTATCTTTGGCCTCTGCCCGAAAGGACTTCTAGGAAATTTCTACCAGATAATTTGTCTTTGTAAAAATATTGTCAACAGATGTCGCCTCATAGATGACAGGTACCTCGACAGGTATACATCTACCTGTTCAGGTGTGTCATTCATAAGAGACGCAATTGCTGACTCGATATCTTTATAAACTTAGCACGAAAGAAGAAAATGGGTAAGCGTTTAAATAATAATTTTTATTATTTTTTAAAAAAATTATCATATTTTTAGCATTTGTTTTACGTAATTATAAAGTGTCACTAATAATACTTGCACTTATATAAATGCATCTCATTAACACTATTAATATATAATGATTAAATATATATATTATTTAAGTAAGGAATGAATTCGAATTTATATTAAAAAAATATATACACGAAAGTTGGCAACACTAAAATAATTATTATTGTTGTATTATTTACTTTAGAATTTAATTTGTTTCGAAATAATTCAAATTTCAAATAAGATACTTATAAGTGCTTCTCCCTGGCGGTGGACAGGCAAACTAATAATAGTAATGGCGACCTACAGTGAAAACAGGTAGGAGACGAAAGAGACAGTGTTTTTTTTGTTACGTAAAGTGCGCTAGTAATATGAGATTGCGATCTTCGAAAGGAAAGATATAATCCACGAAAGAAGTTGGTATTTTTGTTATAAAATGAAGATTAAAATACAAAGCGTGTACACCTGTCAGGTATGATTCAACAGGTATGTCAACTTCAATACAATACATGCATATACTGTATACATAATGTATATTTTGGTATTTCGTATGACAACATACGTACTGTTCCAATGCAAATGAATTGAATCCTTATTTTTTCAGGTGTATTTCCGGAAGTATGACCTTGAATATTAGTTATTTTTATAAAAATTTAAAGAAAAAAATATATTATTTTATCTATGAACTAGAAAGTTATTGACTCAGTACAAAATGTATCTTATTTTTGGTACATAATAAACAAAAAATATTGTATTTTAGTACTACTGTTTTGTATATAGACATAAATAATATACAGTACTTCTCTTATCTGTATATAATACATGATAACTATACAATATATGAAACATTTAACACAGGCATGAACACATTTAACACAGGTAAAAGTATAACAAATTTTATATATTTCATTTATATATCTGATATATAATTTCTTTTTTAAAAAGAAATCTAAATACTAGTACATAAATTTCGATCTTTTGTTGCTATATATTAGTTTTCAGAATAATACAAATATGTAAAATACAATAATAAACTATAAAGTAAAATGATGAAAAAATTGATATTAAATATTATGTATAAAGCCCTCTTTGTGTATTTTATTACTGTAAAGAATTTCTACATTGATGAATACCTGTGTAATACTCAAAATTTATAATATATAATGTATTGATCTTGGTTTACAGTTACATTCATAGTTATATAATGCTTCTTATCATCATCAATATATTATTGTTATGGCTTTCCCTGTCTCATACTATTTTTAAAGTCTTTAAATATTCAGACTATTTTTATGAATTAGGAATTAAATAGATTAATAATATATCATACATATCTGATATTTAATTTATTGAAATAATAGTAGTAGTAATGATCAGGATGATAATATTTAAATTTAAAATGCAAGAGATTTAGATATATTGCAGATAAGTTATGGATAAAAAAATTAATAAATAGTTAATATAAAAGCTGTATTTATTAATTAAAATGCATTAAAGAATAATAAAATCTTTTAGAAAAAAAATCTTCAATCAAAAAATATGACAGATAAAGTTCAGATGATCCAGATGATTGCCAGCAGTTAATTATTTCTATATGCATAATTCATATACATATATTATTATAATATATATTTTTAATTCATTCGTCGTATAATGAACTGCATGACTAATGATGGAAAAATATTGTAGTAGTTATTCGACAGTTTTAACCGTTTTCTGTTGAAAATAGAATAGTGGTCATATAATATATCTCTTATTAATACAAGGTTTCATATTTTTAATGTATTAAACACCGAGGAAAATTTCATTCAGTTATATAGGACATTGACGTCTGTGTTCATCCTAGAAAGTCATTCAACCATCCTATACGCGGTGACAGCTCTCCAGTTGCGGTTCCGTACAACTTCTTTCGTTCCGATCTACTGTATGTATGTTAACATGAATTATATATTCAATCAACGGCTTATTAATGATTCATTAAGTTCATTCAACAGCAAGAAAAACTATGCTCTTCTCGACGAAATTAAGAAGCACTCGAAAGAAAAATAATAATAATAAATATTTATTAAGTATTAATAAACAACCGTATAGAATTTTTGCATAACAAAATAATTAATCCATATCTAATAAGTGAAATCAGTGGAATGTATCCCGAAATCGTCGAACCTTATATTTATAATATAACTACCGTTATGTAATATATTATTTTAGCCATACAGGTAATGAAGATGATATAGACTTATAGAAAAATTTGTGTCCACGTATATAAATCCGATTTATTTAAGTTTAATATAAGTACATTTTTTTACTTTGTACAATAAAATGAATTTAAAAAAAACGAGTGATAGATTTTTAGATCTGGAGACAATAGATATAGCTTGAGCATGATATAGTCTGGTGATAAAAAAAAAGAAGGTACTGTCTCACGAACCCATTAAGCACTTGAATTATTGCCATGTGTATAGTAGTCTGTGTCAAAGTTATAAATAGTTTTCAATGAAATATATTTATCTTTGTTCCGCTGATAATGTTCTCTACCTGAAAAGAAAAGAAAAAAATTTCAAGGGTTTGACTGTCGTGTCATATAATGAAAACAGTCACGTATTTGTAGTATTATATCGGAATATGCGGTGAAATTATAAAAAAATTAATATTTTATATAAATAGCTTAGTACAAATTACGTTGTTACATTTTTAATGATTTTACAAAACAAATCCTAATAATGAACTGAATCTAGCCATGAACCTTATTGACCGTTTTTATGTTAACTTTAATCAACCCGGATTTTGATTGATGATGTTTAGACATTAATCATTGCTTTTTTCTTTGAACAGTTTTTATAACCTGTATTTTTTTTAGCTTTAATACTAGTCATTTTTCTAATATAGTTTTGTGTAACTGATTATAATCATTAAAAAAGCATTTCTTTTATTAATTTTTATTGTTTTAAATTTACTGATTAACATCTTTTTATTTAATTTATAATAGTTTGTAAATGGGGTTCAAATTAGTAAGAAGTAATTCGTTTGCGAAAATTAAATTTAATTCTTGTAAAATTTTCTTGGAAAAAAACTACTTATTACATAAATTAGTAATGAACTTACATAACGTGTTCTGCTATTTATATTTACTAAAAATAAAAACAAATAGATACAATTATGATGACACTTAACCACGTTAATATGTACTAAATTTAGATATGATTTATTTCAGGTTTATTAATGTTTATTAAGTGGCCGGGATAGAGGTAAGAATAGGCCTAAATAGTCTGTATTTCTATAGAAAACAAATCGAATTTTAATTTAAATAAGAGCTCGTTTATACAAAAAAAAAATTTTTANTATCTTCTTATAATTAATAAATTAAATAATAAATGTCCATTATAATTTTAAAACAATTTTCTTTATAGAAGAAGTTGTGTGTATGATGTATGTATAGGTGTATAGACATTATATATAATTCATAAAAGGTTCTAAAAACTTAAGTTTATAAAATTTTCTATTATCTTTAAAAATATTAAAGTTGAGAAAAATGTGTCAAGTATTAAATTTTTTTCTTTTCCATATATAATTGAATTTATGAATAGAATAAATATTATATAGAATGAATAATTTTATCAATTTTATTTATTATTATTATTTATAAATAATAGCACAATTTTAAAAAATAAGTTTTTGTATATGCAATTATTAAACAGTTAAAATGAATAATTTAATTTTATTAAAATGAGGAAACGTTTTAATGGAATTAGAGGAAGGATTCATAAATTTTGTTTACTAGACAGAATGTCCCTCCTAATGGCGACTGTCGTCTTTTTGGTCAGTTAAAAAAAAAAAAAAAGAAACAACAAAACAAAAACACATTTGAATATGTACTAATTTCATCATGTCTTTTGGAATCGATCAATTCAACGAAAAATATAATTATTCACTCATCGAAAATCGAACTATCTATTAGAGAATCGCAATTAAGAGGTGGAGAGACTTTTTATTTGTTTATTTTTCGATTTTCTTTAGTCTGGAGGTTGGCTTTTTGCCAGAACAATGTCCGACTATATTTTTCCCATGTTTTGAATTTTTTCTTTTATAAATCGAACAACATCTCCTCTTCTATCTAGATTAATGACGGAAGTTTATTCAGTTTAGGTGACATAAAGTATGCATTTATGATTAATAATAATTCTCAAATTTCGATATGATAAATAAAAAAAAATATATGAACATAATTTTATCTAATCATGTGAATAAATATTTTTGAAATAAAATTATTATATGATTGTATTGTATAGCCTGCGTTTATTACCAAAGGAAAAGGAAAAAATATATAGGCCTATAATGATAAGATTCCGGAGTTTTTAATTCATAAATCTCATATTGCAATATTATTCTTACTGTTTACTTAAAGATATTCAGGATTTCTCTGATTATCATGCAAAATCTGTATCGTAATCATGAGCAAAAATGTAATTAAATACTATTAATTTTTAATATTTTCTCAAATCATTAATAAGATCTTATAAATTATTTCGCCTAGTATAGCAATTACATTTATATTTCCCAATTTTTTTTTATCTAGAATTTCTGTACAATTTTTATCCCAATATTACTTTTCATTATCGATTGAAAGGTGCGATCTATCTTAATTTAAGTTTTCAACTGTTGCCTAAACTTTGCCGATTGTCTTACCTATTAGGCTGTTCTCAACTATACCACAAATAATATATTCGGTTGGGATATAATATTGATACTCCATTAAATATAACGTTGTAATCAACTTATTAATAACAAAATAAAATAAGCCAACAACCATAAACTACTTTTAAAATAATTATTAAAAAATATAATTTATAAAGATGTAAATGAAATAAACTAAAATATGATTTTAAAATGTTCATATTATTTATTATAGATGAAATCAAAAAAATTATTTTTTTCTATGCAACGATTCTTCAATTCAGTAATACTGTATGGGAGTGTTAAATGTATGTGTGTATATAAAGGTGTGCATGTAAATTACGTGTATATTTCTAAATGTTTTAAATTTAAATATATATTAAAAAGTATGCGTTTATAAATACACACTTGAATCTTTCAAAAGTAATTTTTATTTGTCTGTATTGTCATAAAATCACGTATATATTCATAACTTAAAGGGAATTACATTTAGCAATTACAATGCAGATTTCTAAGTTTTAAATTTTCTTTTTTAAAAAAGTTATTAATAGGTCTACTGCTATTTCTCAATTAAAAGAAGCAAAATAAAATGAATCAGATAAATTTAAAGAAATTGTTTTTGTCATTGAAGAGAGATTATTTGTTCAAGTAGAAAATGATATGCCAATATATAGCTTGTATTCAATGTAAATGAATACATGCTATATATTGAGTAATGTGCATTATTTACGTATGTTATTGAGTAATGTACATTATTTACTTATGAAATTGAATGATTATTTGATAAAATTACATTTGAAGGCTCTCCACGTCTGTATTTTTCTGCTATTAATATTTATTTATTTCTTTAAAATTAATTTTTAATTACAAAACACACAATTTTTAATTTATTAGAGTAAAAAGAAGATTACTTTGGAAAAAATTAAGGCAACTTTTGCAAAGCAAAGAGAAAATCAAGTCAAATGGAAGAAAGAAAATTTATTAGAAAAATATAAGGTAAGTCTGACAAATAAGAGAGGAAAATATAGATTAATTGTTTTTTGTTTTTTATTATTATTATTATTATATTTTGAAATAGTACATAAATATATATTGTTTTTGTTAACAGAACGGAACAATATATCACGATATTTCGGAGTTGCATATGATGATTAAGCAGTCTTCCAAGGAAAGATTGTTATTAGAAAGGCACTTAGCCAGGGCAACAGAAGTAAATATACCATTCTTTTATTTCTTTATACTCGGTTCATTCGTGCGATTCAAAGTAAAACGTAAGATTTAAAGGCGATTCAAGGTTATCACGTGATTGTTTCAGACATTATATTCTTGTACGAATTAAAACAAAATTCTGCACAATATTAGCGATAAAACCAAAAAAATTATTCATTGCGACAATTTATGAAATCGAATGAAATAATTTTAAACTTATTTAGTCAAAATATAATCAGCGCATACGATTCGTGTAACCTTCTCCGATTGGTCGATTTCGGTTTAGCGGGTGCTAATGCCGCTCCATCTAGTGAACGTTTAGAGAGACTTTTTCCTCTTGTGATCATTCTAAAGTAGATTTAGACGTGCAGACCATTATAGACCATATCATTGTAAGAGGTGAATCTTTGCACGATTTTCTCTTTCTTCCTTAAAATTAAATAGTAATATCATTTTAAATGTTTATAAAATACTATCGAAAAAAAGATATTTTAAACTAAAACCCCGCAAGTTCGGCTTCCTGGCGTGGCTCGGTGTTATGATGTGAAGCTAAGCCTAAGGGGCAATTATTTAAAATATTTAAAAGAAATTCCTAAATTATTTATATTAAGTATTTAATTTTTAACGTTTAATCATTATTAATATCTGAACTTGAAATATATGTCTATTAGTGATAAATTAACAAAATTACATGGCATTAATTTATCTAAATAAATTAATTACAGTAATTATTATATTAATGTTCATATATAGAATTAGTTGTTTTTATATAGAAAAACAATCTAACAATGTATATTATTTTATTTATTAAAAAAAATTAATATATATACAGTATATCTTCTTATAATTAATAAATTAAATAATAAATGTCCATTATAATTTTAAAACAATTTTCTTTATAGAAGAAGTTGTGTGTATGATGTATGTATAGGTGTATAGACATTATATATAATTCATAAAAGGTTCTAAAAACTTAAGTTTATAAAATTTTCTATTATCTTTAAAAATATTAAAGTTGAGAAAAATGTGTCAAGTATTAAATTTTTTTCTTTTCCATATATAATTGAATTTATGAATAGAATAAATATTATATAGAATGAATAATTTTATCAATTTTATTTATTATTATTATTTATAAATAATAGCACAATTTTAAAAAATAAGTTTTTGTATATGCAATTATTAAACAGTTAAAATGAATAATTTAATTTTATTAAAATGAGGAAACGTTTTAATGGAATTAGAGGAAGGATTCATAAATTTTGTTTACTAGACAGAATGTCCCTCCTAATGGCGACTGTCGTCCTTTTGGTCAGTTAAAAAAAAAAAAAAAGAAACAACAAAACAAAAACACATTTGAATATGTACTAATTTCATCATGTCTTTTGGAATCGATCAATTCAACGAAAAATATAATTATTCACTCATCGAAAATCGAACTATCTATTAGAGAATCGCAATTAAGAGGTGGAGAGACTTTTTATTTGTTTATTTTTCGATTTTCTTTAGTCTGGAGGTTGGCTTTTTGCCAGAACAATGTCCGACTATATTTTTCCCATGTTTTGAATTTTTTCTTTTATAAATCGAACAACATCTCCTCTTCTATCTAGATTAATGACGGAAGTTTATTCAGTTTAGGTGACATAAAGTATGCATTTATGATTAATAATAATTCTCAAATTTCGATATGATAAATAAAAAAAAAAAATATATATATATATATATGAACAGT